TCTTTTCTCTTCTTCTTCCTTTTTTCTTTCCTTTTTTTCCTTTTTTCTCTTTCTTTCCTTTTTTCTTCCCTTTTCCTTTTTTCTTTTTCTTTCCTTTCCTTTCTTTTCTTTTCTTTCCCCTTTTTCTTTTTTCCCCCCTGGAGCCCGTCGGGGGGGGGGGGGGGGCACTCTGCCCCCTGCCCCCCATAGGTACGCCAGTGGGCAACAGTTTGAGAAAGTGGGAAGGGTCATACAATATTAAATTCCCATTGGTCAACAGGTCCACTTCCTTTCATGTTCCCCCCGAACTTGAATTCAGGGAAATCCTACCAGTCCTACAGTATAGCCCGAAACATGACTCATAACTTTGATGGATTAGGCCATTTGACCAGTCTGTATTCCTGGCCGAAACCAAAACAATAATAAAATGGTCAAGGGTGTATTCCTCTTTTGTTATGTACATAACAAAAGAGGAATACAGCCATATAATGATACTGAGAATCATGACGCCTACTACTTTGAAAACATTGAGAATGGCTGTGTAGAAAGACATATTGCCCCCAGGGGTAACATAAACTCACCCTTGACCATACGAAATTTGAAAGGAAATGGACATGAGAAAAGCACCTAACTAGGAATAACAAGCACGTACTACGTGCAAAACGAATGCGATTTTCTGACGAAGATAAGAAGAATATTTATGGGGCAGAATGTGAACGAAAACAAGGCAATGACGAAGGTCGTCATTGCAATAACATGCAGCCTTTTCACACACAGCTAAAATTCATCGTATCTAGAGATGATTAGTATAAACGTGTTTAACTCAACAGTTTTAAACATGTTTATAGAAAATTTTCCCTGTGTGAACATCGTTTATACGATGTTGGGATAGATAATAATTTTACCCCCCCCCCCCCACCCTGAAAATGATCTCCCCCTAAAAATTACCCAACTTATTATCGGGGTTGACTTCCCATTTAATGAACAGGGGGTATTGTTCTTGGTTGTCCCGGGGGGGGGGGGGGGGGTCAATGTCCTATATAGGGGTTAAGTTTCAGAGATGGGGGTAATCGTCATCGGGGGTAATTTTCTGGGCGTAGTTTGAATCGTCGAGGGGTAATTGTCATTTGGGTAATTATCCTTGGGAGTAGTTTTCTGGGGTGTAATTGTCCTTATCATGATAGGCGAATAAGGTGGGAGGCCGGGATTAAAGCCCCCCCCCCCCCCTCCCCCCGAAGAATGTTGCAATGATGTTTGGCCGTTCGTTCGAGCAACCGACAATTTCGGGTAACGATGTGGTCTATTGATTTGTAATTTAATGTAGGCCTACTAGTCATGAAGTTAAATTTTGTGACAAAATTAGATATGATTGATATTAAGAAATGCTTGAAGTTCGGTTCTCCGACAGTGATCCCAATGACAAAAAATAGGTCCGGCTTTTAAAAAAGTTGCCAGGGTTGGTATAGATTTGCAAAAAGTTTGTATTCATGTTGTGTCGCCTTTTAATCCAGCGTCGTGGCTTTGTAGCGAAAAGAGTGCTTGTTTATAATACGATACAGGATGTTTCTTCGATTACACCCCTCCTTTTCCCCATTTTTCTTTTAGTCTCCCTCTTCAATTTTATATCCTTCTTTCTTAATACTTCTATGCTTTAGGCTATAATTATTTTTCAATTTTTTTTCAATTGTTTGTGTGTTATCTAATTTTACCAACATGACCAACATGAATCATGACATTTTCGCTGCCATAAATTTCCCTCAGTTGACTGTGAATAAAATAAATATAGGGGTAGAAACCAGTGGCGTACCTGGGGTACTCCGTCAGGGGGGGCAAGCGACCGAAACAAACAAAAAAGGCGATGCTAATTTTCACTTCTGGCGAGCGAGCGAGCAAAAAAAAAATCTTTAAGTAACGTTTGGTATATAAACTGGTATTGTTGCAAGTTGGGGGTGGGAACATTCACTTGTTAGCGACGTTAATTTCATTTCTTTGCAAACGAGTGTAGCGAGCAAGAAAAAAATCACTTCTTTTTTAATAATTGCCACTTAAACTTGGTTCAATTGTCCCATGCAGGGCGCGGGAACAATATTGTGTTTAGGGTGATTTTATACCTATTTTAGCTAGCGAGCGAAAATACATCTTTCTCTCAATGAATTGCTATATATAAAATTTGTTTCATTGTTGCAGGTAGGGGGCGGGCACAATCGTGTTTAAGGCAATGTCAATCCCATTTTGGCGGGCAGGCAACCCCCTACATTTCTCTTTTTAATGATATTGTAGCAGGTTAGTGGTGGGCACATAATTCCACGAGCTAGCGAGCGTAGCGAGCGAAAAAAAAAATCACTTTTCTTTTATAGGGAAAATATGGTACATAAAACTTGGGTTCATTGTTCCATGTCAGGGACGTGATTATTAAAAGCGGTGTTAATTCTATTTTGGCGAGCGAGCGTAGCGAGCGAGCAAAATTTTTGTAATGATAATTGGTTCATAAATTTCAGATTTTTTTGTTGCAGGGCAGGGCTTACACAATCATGTCTAAGGTGATGTTAATTCCGTTTTGGCGAGCACGAGCACACCAAAACTTCTTTGAATAACGTTTCGTACATAATTATTAACTGGTTGTTGCAGGTTGGGGCGGGCACGTTAGCGGTGTCAATTCCATTTTGGCGAGCGAGCATAGCGAGCAAGCAAAAAAAATAAATTCTCTTTTAATAGAAATTAATAAATAAACTTGTTTTTATTGGTGCAGGTCAGGATGGACGCAATCGCGTTTAACGCGATTCAATTCCTTTTTGGCGAGAGGGCGAAAAAAATCTTCCATTTTTAATGATATTGTTGCAGGTCAAGGGTGGGCACAATTGTTTCCAAAGCAATGTCTGTTCATTTTATTCGCGAGCGAGTGTAGCGAGCGAGAAAAATGAATTAGTCTCTTTTAGTAACATTTGGTACATATATTGTGTGTTATTGTTGCCATGGTTGCAGGTCGGGGCCCGTCGGGGCAGGCACAATTGTATTCTAGGCAATACTAATCCTTTTCTTTTTTCAGGGGGACGAGGAAGTGAAAACATTTAATACAAAATAGGCTAGCAAGCAGTTTGCGCCAGCGAAGAGTTTCAAATTTGTTATATCACTTATATTTTCCTATTTTCATTTGTTTTAATTTTTCAGGGCCGTATGCGGAATATTTTTCTGATGGGGGAAGGGGGAAAGATGCGTTAAAAGTTTTCGAAGAATCTCAAAAGCAAAAGGAGTAAAGGGAGTTCGAGCGACCGAACTGGTCATGAGGGTACTTTTGCATTTTCAAAAGTAGAATTGAAGGATTTGGTATAGGCCTACACTACATTTTCAGGAAAAAAAACTGTACGATTTCAAAATATCTGGGGTCAACTGCCCCCCCCCTGGTGCTTACGGCCATGTTCTTTATTTTTTTTCCCATTTTTATTCCTTTCCTTTTCTTTTCCCTTTTTCTTCCTTTTCTCTTCTTCTTCCTTTTTCCTTTCCTTTTTTTCCTTTTTTCTCTTTCTTTCCTTTTTTCTTTCCTTTTCCTTTTTCTTTTTCTTTCCTTTCCCTTTCTTTTCTTTTCTTTCCCCTTTTTCTTTTTTTTCCCCTGGAGCCCGTCAGGGGGGGCACTCTGCCCCCCCTGCCCCCCCCCCATAGGTACGCCAGTAGTAGAAACTAAAATCCCAGTCTGTTGTTTCATGTGAAATAAACCTATATGAATGGCTATCGAAAGAGTAGTATAAATAATACATTAAGGGCATTCGCCTGTCAGGCCTTTCAAATTGCTAAGGTGATTCTTACGTTGTTAGTTTTGCGAAAGTTTTATGGCGAATAAAAGGTGAACATTTTTCATCTCTATCCATAACATAAATATCTCTCGGCAATAAAAAGAATGAATATTGAATAAATAAATAGATGAATGGATGAATTTAACATGTAGCATTATGTAGAAAATGTGGGGGGGTGGGGGCAGTGGCGGATCCCGGGGGGCCCGGGCCCCCCCCCCCCCTTGAGAAAAAAATCATGTAAAATCACGTGATTTTTACCTTTTTGGGGGGTTGGGCCCCCCCCCCCCTGGCGCTCAAGGGGGGGGGGGGTGCAAATTGAAATTTTTTTGAGGATCAAAAAAAAAAAATGTGCTCACTACCCCCCCCCCCCCCCCCTCCCCCCCCCCCCCCCCAGGAAGTGAATCGACGACTTCGTTTTTAAGATCATTTCGGAAAGTTTTATCTTTCAAGTTGAACTATTATTATTGAATGCATAAAATACTGCATAATTTAGAACAACTAGAAAACAAAAAACACAACAACTTGAAGTCTTGAACAAATAATCAAACAGGAAACCACATTTGCGTCACATAGGCCTACCCTAAAATTGTAATGATGATGATTAAGACGATGTCGGCGATGATGATAATTCCTATGACGAAAATGCTATGCTTTTCCAACCAATATCCTAAAAATATACGCTAATTTATTTTTTAATCAAGATTTGAGAGATGTCGAGAATAATTTGCAGTTTAAAAAAAAAATTAAAAAAATGAAGTGCCATTACTCTCTTTCCAAAGTGTTTACTTTAATAGTGGTAGTTTTTTTTGGACAAAATGTTGTTATTGTGGATTTTTTTTCTTCCCCTCTCCCGATTAGCGATAGAACACTGAAGATTTGACTGAACACATTATTAAAACATCATAGACAAGTCGCAGGATTTTCCAAAGGCAGTAAAAAATTGTTTTTCCAGATCAGAAACTGATAAATAACAGTGCACTTGCATTAGGCCTACAGAGGCAAGGGAAGAAATAAAGAAAGAAATATCAATTATCAAAATAACATGTAGATCGAATTCTACTGGGAAGCAATTTGATTTCAAGGCCTAACGTGTACCCGAGATGTTTCCTTTTTCTATACTTTTGATGCGCGCCCACCATCGGGCGGAATTAGGGCGGGTCTAGGCGGAATTAGGCAAGGAAAATGCCTCACGCAGACGGCGCGCTACGGACAATCGCTTATGATTTTGGGCGTAAGAATGGCATAGCTAGATTTGCTAGAATTTCGGCAACAAATTGGTATACATTAGCGCCTGTATAATTCATTTTCAGAGAAGTTATCTGAGAAAAACTGCCCATCGGGCGGAAACCGGGCAGGGTACGGTACGTCCCTCTATATATATATACGACAGGTGCAGCAGCAAATTCATTCCGCAGTCGGTAAACGTGGATTTAAGTCTAACCCCTCAAAACACAACAGAGGACAATTCAATTTTACATCGTTTTCAACATTAGCAGAGACTGCAAAAGTGATGGCCAATCTTCAGCGAGTTTTTGTTGTCGGAGTGGGCATGACGAAGGTAAATATAAGCTTTATTTTTCGTACATTTATCAAGCGTTTTTGCACGTAGTCCCGCGTGATGAAATTTCTGTTTTCATCAATTTCACTAGTTTAATTACTTATATTTAATAACTTGTTCTTATGTTCCATGAAAATTATAATAAATTCAATAGCTTATATTGAAGAAATTGTGAAAAAACGACAGCTAAATCTAGATCTACTATAGCTAGGGAGGCCAATAGCAATACCAGGGCGTAAGGCTTCTTCTAAGTTCTAGACTCTACTTCTAGATCTACATGATGTGAGTGCATGATACTATAGTCTAGTTGTCACGTACATTTGTATAGCTAGAGAAAGAGCGAGAGAGAGAAATATCCAGGTACGTATGTGATATGCATGCATGTACTATGTAGTATCATTCTAGGGATTAAATAATGTGTTGCGCTGTAGCTGGATTTTGGAGGTCGTTCTTTTTTATTGTCATGATTGTACAGTAGATCTCTGACTGAAAATGAAATCATAAGGAATACTCATGAGGAAATCAAGTTATTGGAATACAAATCTAAGGTAAATATTAATGACTTAGATCTACCGGGTAGTTCTTTCCTACCAATTTGCATATGTACATCATTTTTCAACCTTTGGCTCGTAGTAGTCATGGTAGTCATGTGGAGGGATGTTGATTTTATTCTCTTAGACTAGTCCCTGCTGATGCGCCGCTAAATGTTTTCTCACGAATTGGCCCCCTTCCCTAGCCATTGACTTGATCCGCCCCTTTGTAGAACATTTATTGCTGCATAAAATCAATGTTCATGAAAGTTCAAATTACTTTCTGTAGGTCTTCATCTGTCTACAGGGACCACCATCATAGTGTGATATGAATATTGTAATGTGTTATTGTTCCTTAAATCTATGAAGCTGTGAACACCTCAGCTCAGTTGTGCTTGTTGAGGAAATATTCAAATACAGTCAAACCTGTCTATAGCGACCAGCCGACCACCCAAGGGAAACACAAAAAATGGCCTTTGTAGACAGGTGGTCTTTGTAGACAGGTTCCTTTAGTACATGATTCAATGAGAAACCATTTTCATGGGAAACAAAAAATGTGGCCTTTGTAGACAGGTGGTCTTTGTAGACAGGTGGTCACTAAAGCAGGTTTGACTGTATTACTTGTAGGGAATAGGAAAATAGCAAATTCTAGATGTATGGCCAGAAGGTAAGCAAAGGCTAGTTTAAACAAAATTTATTTCCCCCTTTTTTTAAAATAGGTATAATCTGTAATAATTTCATAATTTGCAAAAGTAACTCAGATAATCAGACTTCTCATGTACATGTATGTCAGAGTCAGATTATATGATTTGTGTAAATGTGACTTTTGGGGGCATTTTGTAATCACTTTTCTCAATTTTCTCTTCTCTTTGAAGTTCTTCAAGCCTGGCAAAGCCGATGGAGACTTCCATGACCTAGCCAAGCAAGCTGGCCAGGCAGCCCTCAAGGATGCTGGACTCCCCTTTGATGCAGTGGAACAGGCCGTCTGTGGATATGTCTATGGGGATACGACATGCGGACAGAGGGCTGTGTATGAGATCGGTATGACAGGCATTCCTATCTATAATGTGAGTATTCTTAGACTCCCTTTGTATTTCATCTCTTATTCCAAGTTCTTAAATCGTCACCGACAAGGCCTGTGTTACATCTACTTACACACCTGGGGGGTGTTTCACAAAGATCCAAAGTTAAACTTATCTCTAATTTGGACTTAACAATTATGGAAAGCCGTTAGCATCTTTAAAATATTTTATAAAAGTTGTTTTAAAAGGCATAAAATGTTGATTCAAACCATTCATATTTTATATTATCAAGGAGATATCGTGTTCTTGATGAGGAATTTATGAAAAGTCTCAAATACTTCAAGTTTTGCTTTTGAATATATATTTGTTTAAGGCTACAAATGGCTCTCCATAATTTTTAAGTCTAACTTAGAGCTCAGTTAGACTTAGAATCTTTGTGAAACACCCCCTGGAATAGTTACCTGTCCATGAACATGGTGTGATCACTTCCACAAGGTCCTTTGTAAGTCATTCACCAATCTAGTTGGTCTGTTCTTGTAAAGGCGTGTGGGAATAATAACTGAATGCGATACCTCAGCTACAACGTCAAACTAATTCTGACCTATCAATTTTTGTTTGTCATTCAGTGTAATGCAATATATTGTTTTACAGGTCTTTTATTGGTCTGGGGTCAGTTTATCAAAACTTTGATTAGTCTATGTTCTTGGACATCCCATATATAAATGCGAGTGATGTTTCAATTGGATGTCCGAGAAAGTTAGACTTATGACCGTTTTGAGAAACAGCCCCCCCCCCCCCCCCCCCCACAAGGTGCCAGTCTTGTTCGGTGTGCCTGTGGTATAACAGGATTGTAATTGTAATTGTAATTCTACATGATGCACAGATACATGTACATGTTTTTCCAACGATGAAGGAACAACATGTTTACAATTTTTGCATAATTTTGTCGGTATGTTAATTGATCATTTGGTTATGTTTCTGTCAGGTTAACAATGCATGCTCTACAGGTTCCACTGCGCTGTTCCTGGCCAAGCAGCTGTTAGAGGGTGGAAGAGCAAACTGCGTCATGGCACTGGGTTTTGAGAAGATGCAGAGGGGTTCTTTAACTTTACAGGTACTTCAAAAGCTCTAAAATCCTTGCATACCAACCCTTAGTATACTAGGGCAGTGTTTCAGGAAACCTCCATAAGTACAATTTTGCTGACAACCCAATGAAATGCCTTTATTAGATTTTAAACTCCTGTATTCAATTCATTTCCATGGTAGGTGTACTTGTACTTATGACGGTTTCGTGAAACGGTTCCCAGGATTCAAATCGATCTTAGACGTTATAAAAAGATTATTAATATCTTTAACCTTACTTTAGTCATGTGGTATTATTAAAATGTTGGTATTACTTTGATAGGTAGCGCAACAAAACGTAGTGATACGGAAAGACGTGCATAGAAAGCAAAGGACACGATTATCCAAAATCATAAGTTTATCACAGAGAACCAAATGAATATAGAGCTGGTTAAAACATCTACTGCCTTGATTATGCTTAATATGATCTAACTCTAAGTCTTCATTCAGAAATGTCAAATAAGACATTGTTTATTCACTGACATCACTAACTTCTACATTTTATTGTGTTCCGGAAGCATGTAATCTGTACCTGCCACAACTTTTTTTTTAAGAAACCACTGTAGCCACATTAATCACCATCTCTTTAATGCATGACTTTCATCATGAAACAAAAATTGTCCCTAATCATGGCCCTAACCATGATTCATGACCTATTTCTTGATGTTATCCTTGGATTTAAGTATTTCTTTCCTCCTGGTTCTTTTTTAAATTTGTAGTATGAAGACCGTGCTAATCCCATGCAGAAGTTTGTTGAAGTGATGTCAGAGCTTCATGAGATTACTCCATCACCAATGGCTGCTCAGTTATTTGGCAATGCAGGGAGAGAGCACATGCAGAAATTTGGTAAATATAACCCTTATCCTTCCCATGATTACTGTACACAAAAATAATGATAATAATGATAATAATAATAATACTAACAATTAATAAATAAATATGTAGAAAGAAAAAAAAATATAAATAAATAGATCATTAGATAAATAAATAAATGAATAAATGAATTAATAAATGAATAAATAATTAAATAAAACAATAAATAAAACATTAGATAAATGAATGAATAAATAAATAAATAAAATAAATAAATTTGAATAAATAAATGAATGAGTAAATGAATAAATAAATAAATAAATGAATGAAGAATTAATAAAAGAAGAGAAGGAAGCAAAAAAGTAGGTAATTTTCAGCCAGAAATGTTTTTATATTGACTTTCTAGTCAGAATCTGATTTCTTGTGCATATTTTGAAAACGATGTCAAACTTGTTTGCATTATATTTCTTAACCTATTTGCCACAAGTGCTTGCTGATCGGCAACTAAAAACAAATATTATATCAACTGATGTATTTCTTTTTTTGTAATCTGTTATGTATGACCTGTGTGACAAAAACACTACAAAGTTATCTTGTTTGAAAGCCTTTACCTGAATTATCTTAGTTTGATAGTGGGTCCAATGTCCAATCAGATATTGTTTACATATCTTGCTTCTGAAAAGATATAGTGCTTTAAAAAAATGTATGACCCTTTTACAGGAATGTTGAAAACCTTCTTCTTGATGTAATCTCATAGTGGAGAGTAAAAACTTCTAACTTTTAGGGATTACACAATAAAAATGAATATCATTCAAAGTGTGTAACCAGGCAAATTAGTCTTTACAACAGCCTCTTAACAATAATTGCAATTCTTTGAAATGAAATTAATTCAATATACCTTGTTATTGCTGTTATCATTGTTTGAAACTTGCAAATCTTCTTTTAAAAGAGCATTACAGTAATAAGATAAAACTGTTATGTAGATTTGAGGTAAGGTAGAGGTGTGGTGGTGAAGTGGATATGTCACCGGACTGTGGATCACATTGTTCACAGTTCGAACCCCGCTGCGGCACTAATTTCTTGAATGCTTTGCAGGGTAACAAAAATACTTTATAGGCACCTTGAGCACCCCCAGGAATGGATATGTGCGCAATATGAATTTATCCATTATTATTATTATTATTATTATGATGTTAATTTCCTCTTACACTATTAACAGGAAGCACGCCAGAACACTTGGCCAAGATCGCATACAAGAACCACAAGCATTCAACCAACAACCCGTAAGTCGCATATATCAAGTGGTCCAGCAAGTGCTCTGGCAATAATTACTCCAGGCTTTATTTTATCAAAAAGTTAGGATTATAAAAAAGTATTCCGCTTTTATATAGCGCTTTATACATCTACTGTGTTTTTGAGCGCATTACAGATGTATACAGGATATACAGGATACCATACATGCCAACTGTTCAGATTAAAGAGGAACATTCCTCTTTTTGGGAGAAGATAATTATCATTTTAATGCAGGTGTTCCTCCTCCTGTACAAATTTGTCTGTAGTATTGAATAGGAGAGTTAGGATTGTTCCTCTTTTTTTTTTAAATAGCATAATTTGTACAGATTTCTGATTTTCAAATGTTGGCATGTATTGGATACGTGTCAGGGTTGCAGTATGGTTTTAGCTTTGGTTTAAAGGTTAGGTATAGTTTTTTTGGGGTGCAGGCTTGAAGTATTGCATTCAGTTTAGTGTGGAGATTTGACCGCAGACTGATTGTTGCAGGAGCATGTGTTGTATAGTGACAATCGCCTCGCCGACACTCACTTCACCACCAGTATCCTATGCTTAGCAAAGTCTAGCAAACACTGAGCTGAAATGATCTTTACAGATATATGAAAGTTATGTTAATCAAATGTTCCTGCTTTTAGTCTAATATGTATATGACTCATACTTTCATAGGACTCTAATCAATCCGAGAGCTTTGTGCAATGTTTGAAAAGGTGGAGTTATGTTTGTCAGTTGTAGTAAATTCATAATTTGAATAAGATGTAAAAATTTAAATAGAAACTGTATTCCAAAACCTATTGATTTTAACACAGCTAATCATATCCATTCATATTATCCTTATCTGCTGTTCAAGTGTTTCTTCTTTGTCATATGTCTGTAAAATGATTCAATTTTTTTTCTTTCCAGTAATTCCCAATTCCAGAAGGAGTACTCCATGGATGAGATCAAAAATTCTCCAAAGGTCTATGAACCACTCACAAGATTGGAGTGCTGGTAAGAAATGTGCAATTTTGTGCGCATCCCATTTTTCCCGTCAATCTTTTTTTCTTCATTTTTCATTTTTCATTTTTTTTTTTTTTTTTTTTTTTTTTGGGGGGGGGGGGGGGTTGGGGGTAGGGGGGCACCTGTTAAATTTTCATCTCCATACTAATCTGTATGTATCTGTGCATTAACATAACAAGATTTGTAAGTGGCAAACCCAAGTTTGAAGATATTTTCAGTCAGAGTCTGAAGGGACCAAGGGTATCGTGGGTTAGATGTGTTTTAAAATTGTACTTTGCATTTGATGTAGATGCTGGGTATCCTATACTCAATGGAAGTTCATTGTATGTGTACTTGTGAAAAAACTTGATTTTGCACAAATATTGAGAAATATATAATATCTATACATTTTGGGAGGGCATGGCAGGGAAATCATTGTAACGTACTTCTTAAAGTGCCATGATTATGAACTCCTTGGATTATGGGCATCAACAATGTGCATGTATTATATACAACACTTTAACAAGCCATATCTGAACATGCCTCAAGTGCAATTTATATAATTCTTTGAAACTTTTAATAACAAACTATCTTAATTCTAACAAGCATAGCTTTCACCATAGGCCCCTCCATATTTCACTCTTCTCTTTTATTTCAGATTTTTTAATCTATGGCATTCAAACAATTGATATGGAGGTATTAACTTTATGTTTTGTCTATGGTAACAGAATCCATGTTCATTTTGTACCATTTACTTTGTGAAATCATTGCAAATGTTTGATTTATGTCGAATATGAAACTATAAAATGAAAGTATGAAACAGAACTGAAACTGAAACTTTTTGTTTTGTCAGCCCTACTTCAGATGGAGCTGCAGCGGCCATCTTGTGCACCGAAGACTATGTGATCCAACATGGTCTGCAGGGTCAAGCGGTTGAGATCATGGGCATGACCATGGCTACCGATAAACCAAACACGTTTGAAGACAAGAGCTCCATGAAACTGGTAAGCCTAAATGATTAACCCATTTCCTACTAGAACCAGGGGCCTCCTGTATTATGCCTATGGCAATGAATAAATTCAGTAGTCACAGGATTAATTTGGAATCCAACTCATTGTGTTTTTTTTTAACCTATTGACTTCTGAATTCTCTTGTTCTCATGTAGGTTTAATACATGGATCACTTGGTTTCATTAGGGAATGTGTATCATGTTTTGTTTGGAAATATATCTTCATGAATTATAATGGTCCATTTATTTACTTTTGTTGATTGTCTGTCTGTGTGTGTGTGGTTTTTTTATATATTTTTTTTTATAGGGAATGATAGTTCTATAAACGTTGATTTCTAGTATGTCATAGTTATTACTTGATAGATAATGTACATATCAAATATAATTGAAAATCTGGTTTAAGAGACGAAAGTTATAGATTTCTATCCTTTAACACGGACTCCAGTCCCATCTTGATCTCAGCAGTTTTACAAATTTACTGATATTATTCGTAAAATATTGTGTAAATGATGGGGTAGGGAAAGACAAAATTGATTCAAATATGTCCTGCTCTTTAAGGAATGGCTACATAAATGTCAAGAGAAACATATGATGGTTGCATTGCTCCATGAGATGCCATTCTAAGTTAAGATTCTAGTGGAAAGGCATTTCCAGTACATAACTAGACAGTCCCTTGTGCATGATAATATCCCAGGGAGGTCATTGGATTGATTTAGATATGGATTGGAAGATTTATGACACTGTGCTGTAGGGAATTTCCCCTCTGGTACATTCACTACCAGTAGCTGGTAGTAGAAATCACAGAAGATGCATTTGGAATTTTCATTGGTTTAAAGGTGTCGGTGACGATTTCAACTTAAAAGTGTGAATTAATCTTCTTCATATTGCTTGTTTCTTAAAATGTTCTAGTTTTGGTGGGTGAAATGTCAACTTATTGACTACTGAATTCATTGGCCCAAATTCAAAAAGGAGGTTTGAATTTAACTCATGGTTTAAACTTCATTTACATAACCCATGGTCTAAAATTAGCGCAAAATACTTGTACTTATGACTGTTTCGTGAAACGATGCCCTGATTCCCATAGGCAATGGGTTGTGGTGAATTAGCTGGGTATTTTGTTGTTGTTTGTTTCTTTTGTGTCTTTTGTTGATGTTTTTGTCTGTTTGTTTGGCATTGACATGTAAACAAGGATGGCTGCCAGTCATTCCAGATGCAAGTTGTGTGTGAGAAATTTACCCTGTCTTTGTTTTTCATGGTAATCGTGCTGTCCATGCTGACTCATAGGACTATTCTTCATCATGCTAGGTTCTAAAATACAAAATAATATTCCGTTCTTGTATAACACATTGTGATATAACGCCCCTATGGGCTTCCAAAGAACTTTTGGAAACTATTACCTTAGCTTCAGCTCCGGCAGCCGTTATCAGCCTTTGAGAGTAGAAGGTGACAATTGTATGGAAGAGGGAGGGGAGAAATGAGGCGGAAGAAGAAAGGAGGGAGAGATTCATGAGGATAAACTTGATCTCAATAGGGCATTTATGTAATGTTACCAAATGTATGCATATTCCTTTGTGAAGCGCTTCGATATGGATTATTTCATTCACCTGTAACAAATAAATGTGTCTCATTAGTTTGAATTTAAATTTAAAGCCCCAGTACATTTATAGTTGTTGTAGTGTTGAACGAACATGTCTTGCCCTATAGCTAACAACATGTAATACAATGCACTTGCATTGTGACTATTGAAATACAATTATTCATAACAGGTGAATGAAATAATTTGTATGGAGGCACTTGAGTATAAATTGGGTTACACTATGTAAATGCATATTACCGACTGCCACATTGTTTTACTTAGGTTGGATATGACATGACAAAGCGTGCTGCAGAAACACTGTTCAGCAAGGCAGGAGCTAGTGTGGCAGATGTTGATGTGGTGGAACTACACGATTGTTTCGCAGCCAATGAACTCATCACATACGAAGCCCTGGGACTCTGCCCTGAAGGTAAGTACATGAAGGATAGTGATCCAATTGGTGGTCTTTTGATCGGTCTTATATTTGCTATTTACACCCATACACCCCCCAAAGAAAAAAGAAAAATAAATAAATTAATTAATTAAAAAAAAAAAAAAAAAAATATATATATAATAATAATGTATAATCCACAAAAGTATAGCAAATAATTAGGGTTTGCCTTTAGGGTATGTAGGCAGGGCCCAATTTCACAAAAACTTTCATCAGTGACACATGAGAGTTTTCATTATATGCTAGTGAAATCCTTGCTTCTGATTGGTTATCAGCAGATTTGTCACTGATTATTGTCATTTGTCATTGAAAAAGGACTTTGTGAAACAGGTCCCTGGTCTTTCTGTTTGAGGTTCTCCATGTTTTTGATGTCAGCAAAATCATTAACTCAAAGGACTTTAAAGTGCCCATAAACATTGGTCAAGGTCATACGTACAGGAGATCAGGGTAAATTATTTAAATGACGACTAAAATAAAGGAAGTGTAATGTTCAAGGGCAATGCACCTAAACATAATGGTATTATCTTAGAAAACATTTAGAGGATACTGACTGTTAAGTTCGCACGTACAAGTAAAAATGTTAAGAATGGTATGTCCCAAGATCTAAAACACAAATGAGGGAAGGAGTGTGTTTGCTTACTGTGAAACCATCCAATTTGTCTTGTATTTTCAGGTAAAGCTGGAGAGTTCATTGACAGTGGTGATAACACGTATGGAGGCAAGTTTGTGGTCAACCCAAGTGGAGGTCTCATCTCTAAGGGACATCCCCTAGGAGCTACAGGTGGGTCTAAGAGATAATTTTTATGATATTCCGGCTTTTTTTCTCTCTCTCTCTCTTTCTTTGTTTTTGTCTTAGATGAGCCGATATAAGCTAATTTTAAATTCTGTCAATTTATTTCTTCAAGAAAAAGTATTAATGAACTATGAAGGAAATGGTGTAATTTTGAGATACGAGTGTGTCGTAGCTGGTTTCGTAGAGGTGAGGTCTAAGGTGCCGTCTTAGAGGTGTCGTAGTTGAAAGGTATTCAAGCACTTGACTTGAGTTTGATCCCTGACACAGCACTAATGTCCTTCAGCAAGGCATTCATCTACATTTTCCATGACGAAAGCCTTTTTGTAAGTAATTGACATTAATATGCCCTCACAGTGACCATATGGTAAGAATTATCCCAAGAGAGTGGAAATGGTGAACATTATGTGTGAATTAATCTGATGACCGGCGTAATAATATTTGTAGAGCGCTCAGTGCTTAGAGACGGTATTTCGTATAAACCACTCTGTAAATCCAGATTATTATTATCATTAATAATAGGCATTTATGTAGCGCCGTCTATCTAGACAATTCTATTCCAAGGCACACAAAAAAACTAGAAAGAATGAGAGAGTTTGGATAATTGTCATAGTGCCATATACAGGTATTTTTTCAAAAGATGAGATTTCAACTTGGATTTAAAGGTCTCTAAGGAAGTTATGATTCTCAAATTAATAGTAAATTATTCCAAAGGTTCCCTGGTATAGACTTTATACAGAGTGGTTCCTACCCCCTGTCCACCCACCTCTTGAAGTTGGTATCTTTGTGCTTGAGCTTTGGACCCGAGGTTAATCATTAACCAAGCTTTGATTGATCTTGGTATCAGTTGATAAGAATAGAATTGGCAAGCTTATCATGTAGAGTATACAGTCTGTTGGATCCCATACTTGGTGTCCAGGTTTTATATTAGGGTTGGTTTCTTCCCCAGCCCCTGCTCTCTCTTTTCCAACCAAGTTCAAGTTCAAGTTCGTTTATTTATTTCATTTCCATAAAAAACACAGCAAATGCAAATAAACATACAAGTATATATACATACAAGGAATGGTCAATTATTACAATAGTTTAAAATGAAATTGGAGAACATAGGAAAGGCCCATGGTGGCTTTGTATAAAATGTTCCCCGAATATTATAATTTATATTATTTATATTATTGAGCATATATGAGTTCGAGATATCACAAAATACAGCGATAAACACAAAATACAGCGATAAACACAAAATACAGCAATAAATACAATATAAAGACAAAAAACTACAAACATATGTATGAAATAATCTAAAATTGGAGGCGGGGGGGGGGGGGGGCAAAAAGGTTTGGAAGGTAAATTTAACGGTACTCAGAATAAAAGGTCTGTTTCATTTTTGTTTTAAATATTGAACTGTTTTTATAAAAGCGGAGGACTTGAGGAAGAGTGTTCCATATGTTTGGCAAAGTATTTCTTACTGATTTTTTAGAAAATGAACTTTTTACTTTCCATAAATGAAACGTGTTACAAAGCCGAGTATTGTGAGTATGAATTTGGTTATTGATCGAAAATATGGAGGATATTCTTTTTGGAAGTATATTTTGAAAAAAATAAAAACCAATTAGTGCAGTATGGTATTTGAACAAATCAAAAACATTTAGGGTTTTTAAACGAAGAAATAACGGAGCAGAGTGGGCATAATAATCACTACCTGTACAAATACGTAGAGCCTTCTTTTGTAATTTGAAGAGGGTATTAATTTTTCCATGACACGAATTTCCCCAAATACTTATACAATATGTAAGATAAGGTAATATAAGTGAGTTGTACAAAGTGAATAAAATGGGAAATGGTACATGAAATTTTAATTTATATAAAACACCAATAGATTTTGATACCTTGCTTATAACATTATCGATGTGGGAATCCCAACGAAGGTTGTTATCTACGGATACTCCAAGGAAATTTACAACATTTAATTTTGATATAGATGTAGTATCAATACTTAAAGTTACCTTATCTAGTACATTGGAAACATTTTTACTCTTATTGTGAAATATACAAAAGTTTGTTTTAGAAAGATTTACTATCAATTTATTAGCTTTGAACCAAGTTGAAACCTTGTCTAATTCTTTGTTGACCTCGTGCTCTACATTATTTAAATCAGGTTGTGAAAAAATAAGAGTTGTGTCATCTGCATACATAATATACTGCATGATATGAGAAGATTGAATTAAGTCATTAATATATATCAAAAAAAGCAAAGAGCCAAGTATAGATCCCTGAGGAACTCCGTGTGTTATGTCTGCAAAATCAGAAGCATTATTATTATACATAGTAAATTGACGTCGATTGCATAAATAACTTTTAAAAAAATTAAGAGGGTTTCCACGTACACCATAAAAGTTCAATTTGGACAAGAGAATTGAATGATCAACTATATCAAACGCTTTTGATAAATCCATAAATATTCCAATACAAAAATTATTTTTTTCCATTGCTAAAGTCACTTTATCCTGCAAATCAATTAAAGCATGGGTTGTGGAATGATTACGTCGAAATCCAAATTGACAATCAGTAAGTATATTATGTTTAGAAAGAAAACTATACAATCGATTATAAACACATTTTTCTAGTAATTTAGATATACAAGGTAACAAAGATATTGGTCGATAATTTTTTAATGAATGACGGTCGTCTTTTTTAAAAACGGGAATAATCTTAGCAATTTTAAGTTTGCTTGGAAACGTACCAGTTGACAGTGATATATTAAAAATGTAGACCAATGGTTTTACAATAGCATGAATGATTTGTTTGAGTACATTGCAACCTATGTTATCATATCCACAAGATTTTGTATTTCTTAATGATTTACACACTTCAATCGATTCATTTTGTGATATAGGTTTAAAAAATATTGAAGAAGAAGTTGGGACATGTAGGTAATCTGTGTGAGAAATGGTATTAACTTGAGCAAGGCGATTATTTGCATCAAACCCAGAACATGAGGAAATAAAATAGGAATTAAATTCATCTGCAATAGATTGATCATTTTCAACCATTTTACCATCCTGCATAATATATGTGGGTAATTTGGGTTTTGATTTATTTAAAAGGGTATTGATAGTTTTCCATGTATCTTTAATATCATTTTTCGAATTTTCAAATTTTAAACAAAAGTAATATTTTTTTGCCTTTCTTAACAGATTATTCACTTTATTCCTGTAAGATTTGAATTTATTTTCATTTACAAAAGACCTATTATGTATAAATTTTTTGTAAAGTTTATTTTTCTTTTGAATACACCGTATCAAACTTTTATTTATCCAAGGCTTTCTGATTTTCAATCGTTTAGACTTATTTGGTACCAAAGGTAAACATTTGTTGTATGCAGTGGTTATCACCGATATAAATGTATCGTACATCTGTTCTATATCCTGAAGGTTGTTTAAAAAAGTCCAATCTATTCTATACAATTCACCTAATAATGCTGCAATATTTTCGTTTGAGATTTTCCGAGTATAAGTTAGAATCGTTTTCCTATGTCTTTCATAATTATATTGAAAAGGGAGAATACAGGTAAATGATCTGTTACATCAGTACAAATTGTTCCGCTCGTACATTTGGATTCAGTAAGGTTGGTAATTATATTGTCGATTAATGTTGCAGAGTTAACTGTAATACGAGTGGGAGTTGTAATCAACTTTAATAAACCAAATGAGCAGTTTAAATTTACAAATGTATTTGCACTTTTATTGTTCGTTAAATTTGAAAGATCTATGTTAAAATCGCCTGCAATTATTAAACTGCGACGGGATACACGAAGTAGTAGTTCATTATAAAATTTGAAAAAAACATCAAGATCTGAATTTGGCTTTCTATAAATGACTCCAACTGTGTATTTTAAAGTAGGTCCTAGTGTAATGTCAACAAATAAATATTCACAAGTTGAATTATCATAGGTGTTAAAGATATCATCCCGAACGGTGCATGTTATATCATCTTTTACAAACAGTGCAACACCTCCTCCTCTACTAACACAACCAGCCCTATCCGAATGTATGAAAGTATAACCGTGTAAATGAAATGGAGTAACTGGTTTACCACAAATCCATGTTTCGGAAAGGGCAATTATTGAGAATTTATTTGACAATGTATCAAGAAGATTTGTAATGCTATCAAAATTTCTATTAAGACTACGGGCATTCATATGAATTAAACTGAAATTATATTCATTTTTTACAAAAGAAGAGTTAAATTCACTGGGTGTATAACATGAACAAGTATTACCGTGTTCAAATATGCATATATCTGGATCCAAATCGTTTAACGGATTACCCATGTATTGTAAAGGCAACCAATGAAACACATCTTATATATATAACTGAAAAAGAAATCCCAGGATGCTTACAGCAAGCACATGAGAATATATACACCATATTTGGTTCAAAAAGTCTCAATCTAGAAAAATAATCATTGTTAAAACCTTCAAACTTTTTTCTTTCCACCTCCTTTGAAATAGTACTAGGAGAATTAATATACTGAGAATACATTTTGAATTCAGACAGAACAAATAACATAAAACAATATCAGTATTACATAAATATATAGATATACAAATAGTAGAAATCAAAATCTAAAACAAACATGAATATATATACACAAAGTACAAGTTTTATGTAGTGTAATACGAAATAAGTTGGATGTCCAACCCTTCCCCTTCCCCCTCCCCTCCTCCTGTTTTCTCCTCTCCTCCTGTTTTCTCCTCACCCCCTCCTGTTTCCTCCTCACCCCCTCCTGTTTCCTCCTCACCCCGTTCTTCTCCTCCCCACCCCACTCCCTCTCTGCATTGTGTATATTGTCGGCCGGCTGGCAGAAGGGCCTTATTCTATAATAATAGGTCTGGACTTTCTCGTACAAGTAAGTCTTTGCTGTAGGGACAGTTTCCAAATTTTCACCCCTTTTTTTCTTCCTCTAGAAGAATAATTAGCAAGATATTTATAGGAACCAGTGGGAATATATCATTAGATTATCATCTGAACTGACAGGAAGTCTTTGTCCATGTCTATTTTGAACATCAAATTGCTAACTCTTGGATATGTTAATAGTAATCTTTGATTGCAAACAATCACTGCTTGCAGCAGATATGAGATCCAGGGTTAAAGGTTGCATTGATTAATTTTAACCCAATTGATCGAGATAAGGGGTACTACCCCTGGGTGCCTGTATGATAGGGCAGCATGATAAATACATGTATACAGGTAGACCTACTTGTGCTGTGCATGCCCTAACCTGTTACATATACCATCTATTGGTGAGTGCGATATTGTGTCCTTACCTTAAATTTTATTAACTGATCGCTGCATTATTGATATGTAAGGTTAATCATTTTATTGTTGCCCTTTTTCATGTATCACTGGCATCTTCATTTAGTATGTTTTTAGAGGTTTATTTGGTATTCTATTTCTAACCACCTAGTTTTACACATAAATTGACTGTGTGCACATATGTACTATGGCCTAAGGTAACAGATAATTATTTGTACAACAGGTGATTCGCATCATTTTGTTTCTTGTTTTATATATCCACTGCCTTTTAAAAAATTGTGAACACCCTGTTTCTCTATGTCCCTCTCTCCTCCTTGTTTTCTTTTTCTTGATTCTCTACATTTCTTCTGTATATCTCTCTGTACTATATTTTACTTTGTACATTGTACATTGTTTTTACTCTATTTTGTCTCTCTCCATATGCCCCACTCTTTTTCTTTCTCTTCCCCCCTCTCTCTCTTTCTCTAACATACGATCTCTCTCTCTCTCTCTCTCTCCTCTCTGTCACACATACTCTCTCTCTCTGTCTCTCTGTCATACATTCTCTCTCTCTCTCTCTCTCTCTGTGTCACACATACTCCCTCTTTCTCTCTCCCTCTCTCTCTCTGATTCTCTCTGACTCTCTGACTCTCTCTCTCTCTTTCTCCCCCCTTCAGGTCTAGCCCAGTGTGCTGAGCTTTGTTGGCAGCTTCGAGGCAAGGCAGACAAGAGACAGGTAGAGGGAGCCAAACTAGCCTTGCAGCATAACATCGGACTCGGAGGGGCAGCAGTGTGTGCATTGTACAGGATGGGTTTCCCAGAGCAAGGCAGACCAAGGTATGTTCAAAAATATTAAATCTAATATGTGGGACTGAAAGAAGAAAAATAAGATTCAACTACATTAAAGTACCTTGGAGAGGTGGTAGTGTGTGAATTGTACAGAATGGGTTTCCCAGAGCAAGACAGACCAAGGTAGGTTCACAAACTTTAAATTGTATATGTGGGACTGCAATAAGAAAAATAAGATTCAACTACATTAAAGTACCTTGGAGAGGTGGTTGTGTGTGAATTGTACAGAATGGGTTTCCCAGAGCAAGACAGACCAAGGTAGGTTCACAAACTTTGAATTGTACATGTGGGACTGAAATAAGAAACTACGATTCAACTACATTGATCTAACTTGGAGAAGTGGTAGTGTGTAAATTATGCAGAATAGGTTTCCTAGCGCAAGACAGACCAAAGTTATTATTTAAACAAGGAAGGAAAAAATTGGGACACTTTGATTGCATAACATCTGTAGTATCTTTCATCCTTTAAATTTCTAAGGTTTTGCAAAGCACAGTGTAGTGTACCATTTATTTCATGATCACAAATAAAACAAAATGTCTGGAGAAAGTCTGGCAAATTATCAATTAAAGGATGTCTTGTATCTTTTTGTTTAAATGAAGTTTCGGTCATTGAAGAAATGACGAAATCTTGTAACTTTCTCAATTTTTTTACAATGACAACAAGAAAGTGATAATTTTAGAATAAGAACATGTCTTTGTGATAGTGTCTGTATTAAAGGTGGATAGACAATTCTCTTATCCTCTTATTTTTATATTATATTTTAATTGTAATTATCGATTTTATACTTTTTTTTGGTATTTATTACTTGTGCAGGTATAACCTTCAGGCCAACCTAACAGCAGCAGAGGTGTTCAAATGTGAAGCTGTCTTCAAAGAAATTGAGAATGCTCTCAAAGTTGTAAGCTTTTATTATTGCTATCACTTTCTCCACCACGATGACTATCATCGATGTCATGGGCACTATGCCCATGAGCATTACTATCACTATCACCACCACCACCACCATCACCAGTATTGCTGCCTCCACCAACACTACTACAACCACCACCACCACCATAATCATTACTAAGACTTCAGCCATTACTACCGCCACCGCCATCCAACCATCATCATTGTCATCGGTCATCATCACCACCTCCACAATCAGATGGCTAACACTGCAGCCATCTGCATCACCACTGCCACCACAGTACTCATTTCAACCAGTTCCATTACCAGTCCCTCTAAATACCATCACCATCATCACTGTCAAAAAATGTCATCGACCATAGGCAGCTAATAATATTCTCCAAAGCCATTTATAATATTCTTGAGAGTAAATATTCATTTTCATTTAAACCATTGTTTTCTTAAAGTGACTCAGGAACAGTGTTGAAGGTTGATGAACAAACTGTAATTTTTATATAAAATGTTACTTATTATATTCCTTTTACTGCACTTACCCTCTAACAGGCAAAAGAATCCTGAGAAAATTCTCAAACTACAAAGATAATTTATGTTTTTTCTTTGAAGGCGTCACTGTGCAACACCTTCTAACAGTGATGAACAGTAAATTCTCACAACCATTTTTGAATTTTCCCAACCGTTTTTCCTTGAAAATAAGACATAAGACAGGCTTTTAAAAATCTGTCAACACTTAAATGTCTGGAATGGTATATAAAGCCAATTCATTGCTTTGTGACGATTTACATTCACCTAAAATGTATTTAAACTGTACTAATATAGTTGGGAGAATTAAGGAATCAATCAGATCACTTTCTCCCAATTTTTATCATTGATAATGGTCCATTTCACTCCAACTTTTAGATTATCTTTAATTGTACATCTAGCATTGAAGTTACTTACCTTAGCACCATTTTCTCTCATCTGGACAATGTTACCAAGTCCCTTTAATCGAATCATGCCTGTATGGATTCCAGTATGTATATGATTTTAAGCATACCATTTTAATTGAATTCCACATATTCCTAAATTGTACAGTCAAACCTGCTTTAGTGACCACCTGTCCACAAAGATCACCTGTCTACAAAGACCCGTTTCCCTTGAAAATGGTTTCTCATTGAAACATGTACTATAGGCATCTGTCTACAAAGACCACCTGCCTATGAAGACCACTTTTCTTGTCTCCCTTTGGTGGTCTTTATAGACAGGTTTCACTGTACATAGATATAGATGTTTCCTGCAATTCCTTGATGCAATGTTCCTTCTTAATCCTGTTTCAGGATGGAAAGAAGATGGTAGATAAGATCAAAGGTATCTATGGTTTCGAGGTATCTGGAGGACCAGGAGGAAACAAAGCCAAATGGATCGTAGACGTCAAGAATGGAAACGGTTCCGTGGAGAAGGTGGAGAAGGACTCTAAAAGTAAGTCCAATCACGAATCGGTCTCATTCCATTTCCAGCAAAACAAAGAACTAAGTTAAACTTGAAAAGCAGAAAGTTTGGCAACTTTGAAATGTTCACAAGGTTCATGAGCTGTTCAGAATTCAGGGTTGGGCGGTAAATACCGGTGGCGGTAATTACCGGCGGTAAATACTGTCCGGTAAATAAGATGCGCGTCCGGTGAATATGTAAAAAACGGGAAATATAATTTTAATTCTCTATTTATTAATAATTTTACTTGTTTTTAGCCTCATAACTGAAAATATTGTTCTGAAATAATTAGCAGCACAATACTCATAGTAGGAACACACAAACAGATTTATAAAATCCTCACTGCATACAAAATTGTACACACCCAAACAAATGGCATTTTGTGCATATGCTAATTAATAGGTATTCATGAATATGGTAATTAGCAACTGGGAACCAAAACCTTCATACAAGTTACTTTTATTGTAAAGTTTAAGATATTTGAATAAAATCACTGAAAATTTGAACAAATTCAGGCAAGGAATAAGGAAGTTAAAGCTTTTTGAAATGACTAGTCACTAGAGGGCAATATTCAATTTGATGACATCATTTGTAGACAACTCTCCATGCCTTTTGTACATCAAATTTCATGTTTTTCCTTCTTTCTTGTGATTGAGATAATAGAATGTAAAATGATATTCTACTTCACATGTTATGAAATCCGATCAAAAACACAAATAAATCTCAATCTCAATCACAAGAAAGAAGGAAAAATATGAAATTTGATGTACAAAAGGCATGGAGAGTTGTCCAGAAATGATGTCATCAAATTGAATATCGCCCTCTAGTGACTAGTTATTTTAAAAAGCTTGAACTTCCTTATTCCATACCCGATTTTGTTCAATTTTTCACTGATTTTATTCAAATATCTTAAACTTTACAATAAAAGTAATTAGTATGAAGGTTTTGGTTCCCTTTAATGAAGAACATCATATCTAGACTAGGTGCATATTTGGTATCTTTTTTCCAGCATTACATAATTACATAGACAAACACACAAACAAACACACACACACACAAATAGCAACCATACTCACCACCATTGTTATTATGTTCAAAATTGGACAATCCTTATGAACAAGTGAGTGGAAAAATATATTTCCCGGTATTTCCCAGTAAAAAGTGGTAAATACCGGTAAAAAGCGGTAAATACCAGTAAATAACGCTTATTTCCCGGCGTCTGGGAAATAAGCCTCCGAAGCGGGAAATATGCCACCCCTGTCAGAATTGCAACAATTTCGTGCAATGAAAATTGAATTTCCAATACAATTTGAATTTCTGCAATTCACGAAAATCTCTTGAAGTGCCAATAGCTCTTGTCACAAATCGTGAAAGTTTTGTGCCACAAAAGTTTGGGTTTTACATGAAATATATTCATGCAGATATCATCAGTTTCCCTCTGTACCCATCTTTCCCCAACTGTTAATTTTGTCTCTCTATTTTCATTTTTTCTCCATTTAATTTTTTTTCTCCGTTTAATTTCTTTACCAGTTTTTCTTAACCTTGACAATTTTTTTGGGGGGGGAGTAAGATGTCACACATTTCAGTTATCAGAAATTAATCCTCTTAACAGGGAATAGAATTTCTTCTAAGTTGGCTGGTTACAGTTTTTCTTACACTAATTGTTTTTATGGTAAACCTTACATTGAAACAGGGAAAGCAGACTGCACATTTAAGATCGCGGATGCCGACTTGGTGGACCTGATGATGGGGAAACTTAACCCTCAGAATGTGAGTATCTCCTTAAAGTGACTTGGTAATATTGCCTCAGATTATGAAGCAAAATCCTGGATGTAGCTCATGCTGCAATCATAATTATAAACCTTTAGGTCAGTCAGGAATCCCATGACTTTTACAAGCAGATCGCCTGTCTGATTATCAAGATATTTATGATTGGAAATCGAAATTTCACTTTTGTTTTCCTAACAATTTTTTATAACACTACAGTCTATTGGGGAAAATGAGTATGGTAAAACCGGTCACTCAAAGTTTTTACTTTTTAAGGCACTTCATGATCATTTTAAAGCGCAATTTTTGTAGGGCTTCAATATTACACCATATCAAAGACACTGATAATCCGTAAGGCTATGCATCTCAGATTTAATATTGTTAAACGATGCCTTTAATCATTTTCACCCTGTTGGTTACTCAGTCTAATAATTGTCCTGAGACCCATTTCACGGAGCCTTTTTTCAATGACAAATGACAAAAATCAGTGACAAGTCTGCTGATAACCAAACAAAATCAAGGCTTAAAACAAAAAAAACTGTCATTTGTCATGGATGACAAGTTTTTTGAAAAAGGGCCCAGTTCAACCTATACTTTAAAACAAGTGGAATAATAATGAAATTGTCTCAAGTCTACTAAGGATAAAGGAAAATTATTTGAAAGAATATTTGAAATGCTTCTACCCATCCTGAAATTGTTACAGACCAGTATTCAAGTCATTATTGGTATACAAAAATTTTTTTTTTTTAATTGACTCTAGGTTTAAATTCATAAGGATCCGGGCATGATGCCCAAGAAATGCTGTTAGATGCTATGGTGGAAATGTTTTTTGTTTTTTATGCCTCCGCTACAAAGTAGCCGGAGGCATTATGTTTTCTGGTTGTCCGTCCGTCCATTTGTACGTACGTCCCGTTCTCGTGATCGCGTTATCTCAAGAACAGATCAGTGGATTACCGCCAAACTTAAATCATGCATGTATCTTGCAGAGCCAATGAACTGAATAGATTTTGGGGTCACGAGGTCAAAGTTCAAAGGTCACACAGCTCATTATGTATGCAAAATAATTGTGATCGCGTTATCTCAAGAACCGATGGATGGATTACCGCCAAACTTGAATCATGCATGTATCTTGCAGAGCTAATGAAGTGATTAGATTTTGGGGTCACGAGGTCAAACGTCACAGGGCTCATTAGTATGCACAAATAGCTTGTGATCACATTATCATGAGAACCAAAAGACAGATTACTATCAAACTCAAGACATGTATATGTATCTTGCAGAGCCAATGAACTGATTAGATTTGAGGGTCATCAGGTCTAAGGTCATGGGCTCATTAAGGATGCCTATAAATAGCTTGTGAATGCATTATTAAAGATGACAGATGGGTTATAATCAAACTTGAATTTTCAAAGTTTCTGTTTTGGTTTGTAAAATTGCTCCATGGCGGAGGCATCATTTTCGACTGCGCGCAGTTGAAGTTCCATCTAGTTTGTTGTTATTTTTTTGTTTTTGTATTCATGTATTTTATTGATTTACATAATCAGAGCTAAAAAAACAAATCATACTCAAATTACAAATGGGAATACAATGTAAGATTTCAAGAAAAAAAGTGATTGAAGCACTCCTTATAACAGAACCCTTTAGGCTCAAATTCACAAAGGAGGTTTGTGGACAAACCTAGGTTTGTTTCGACGCGTTTTTACAAACCTTGGTCTGTAAAAACGCGTTAAAACGCGTCATATGACGCACATTAACCTAGGTTTGTCGACAAACCTCCTTTGTGAATTCAGGCCTTAGAGTTTAAAAGATTTGCCATGAACAAAGAAATCTAATTGATTATGGGGGTCATCTGTTCATGAACCACTCTCTTTTTTATTGATTTAACTCACTCAGGCCTTCTTCTCTGGGAAACTCAAGATCACTGGTAACATGGGACTGGCCATGAAGCTCCAGCAGCTCAAACCAGCTGCACCCAAGGCTAAATTATAGAGATCAGGGTTCAAGACCCCCGTAAGAATACCATTCCTTCCATCACAAGTTCAGATGTCCATCGAGTCACATGATACTGATCTTTTATTTGTATTGTAATTTGGAGACTTACTTAGCATACATCCTTCCATCACGGAATGTCCCTTGAGGGATATGATATCTTTCCTTGAAATTTGGAAATATATTTGAATATAGAATCATCTAAACAGTGTCATTCATCGGTGTCTCATGTGAGATGGAAATTAAAGAATCAGTTCAAGACATTGTGAGAAAATTGATAATTTCATCAATTAGATGTCCATTGAGTCACGGGACACCTTCTTATATTAAACTTGCAACAAAAATACACCAAAATAGAGAATATGGTACATGCACATCCTGCAGTAGATATTCCAGTGCTGTAGTCATGATTGTTGTCTCATGTGTGATGAACATTTAGAAGGATGTTTCTATGTACAGAGAGATATGCAAACTCACTGATATCAATGTAAGCTAACTGTACCCATGCTTCTTTTTGTTATTTGATTGAATTTACGATTACCAATGTGGTACATGTAATTTGCCAGAGTGTACAAAGCTGTCTGAATCATGAAATTAGGTGACATTATGCAGTATGTATGTGCAATAATGGTACTTTTTGTAGTGTAAAATGCCACTACATATGAATGATCATTGTTACACCTTTGCTCGGAATCGACCCTCATCCCTCTGAATGAAAGGTTTATGGACGTGTATGCTGGAGTGAAAACTCTTCACTGCAGGTGGCATGTATATAATCAAAATAATAATAGAGAGAGTGCTTCCATTAACACTTTGGTGGATTTCTTCGCCCCTCTGCATCACTAGTTTGCCATACTTGCAATTTTGCACAAACACCATGCAACGATTAAACAAAGGATGGTTTGCATAACACAATGGCTTTGCAAAATTACCCATTTCCGGTCTTGATGATCTTCATGACAACCCGTTAAGCACAGGTACATATTCATTTTTGGAAATGGTAAAATAAACTGAAGCCTTTGGTATGATGTATCCAATGGTATATACAATGTGGCACCGAGAGATTATTTATGTGGCTTCTAATGAGTAAATCAAATTACCACAAACATTTTCCTTTGTTGGTTTCAAAGTGGTGTACGGTAATATATTAAGCAAAAGAAGAGGTGAAGAGATGATGAAAATTGAACAATATGAAAAATTCTTTTGCAATATTAAACTTTTTTCTGTGGTTTTTAATGTTTCAGAATATTCCTCTAGTTGCAATCATTTTGAATGTTGTCTCATGTAAGATATAACGTCATTTCACCTGGTGAAGTGTCTATTTGGGATGCATGTACTGATCGCAAAATGTTTCATAACTCTGCTTGGTTAACTTTTTAACATCAGGTGAGATATGTATATTTGCATCACCATCATGATCAAAATAAATTTGTGTATGAACTATTGGGATGTATCTAAGTTGTGGAATATAATTGATTTACATGTTGATGAAGGAGCTATTCCTTGGAAAATATGTATTATTATACTATGTGATACTCTTTTTCAAAATAGAATGAAATTTTAAAAGTACTTCAAACATATATGTTAATGCAGAAATTTGGTTATGATAACACATGGTGTTAATAATGACAATTTTTAAAGAGAACTTACAAGACGAAAAACAACTTTCCTGATCCACACAGAGTTGATATTATTCATCACAATTCATTATAATTGCATATTTTATCATGAAAACCTATTATTTCATCATACTATATGCACTTTGTGCTATTATCTATTAATTTATGTAACATATTCATGTTGAATGTCTATTGAAATAATGTGCTTTGTATAACCATTTGTGGTACAGACCGATTTTGTACTGAGCAATGAATAAAAAATGAAAGAAATGTATCTATTACGTACATGGATATTGCAGTCTGTCAAATTCTTACTGCGTTTTTGTGACCAAAACATAACAATGGTGTGTAAAGAGAGGGAGACAGTGAAAGAGACAAGAGAGAGAGAGAGAGAAAGAGAGAGAGAGATAGAGAGAGAGAGAAAGAGAGAGGGGGGAGGATGGGGGTGTTAGAGAGAGAGGGTTGGGGTGTGTTAGAGAGAGAGTTTTATATTGGCCTGTAACAAAACAAAAAAAAACCTTCACGTTTTTGGCGTGCCGTTTTAGGTTACGAAACAAAACGGCAAAAAAAGATAGAAGGTAACCAACCCTTGACCATCCTTTTCATTCTTCCCTTTCCCCAGCCGTTTGGCCCGGAGAGAGAGAGAGAGGGAGAAATTCTCCATGTGCCCCCCCCCCCCCCCCCCCGATCCCCCACTGAGAATGAAAGATTAATTTTTAATGTATTTCTAGAATTACGTCATGTTGTTAATTAAGATTAAGTCGCTTTTTTGTGGGTTTAGATATAACATTTGAGATCGAACTAATTGAAAATAGGCACCTAGGCGTGTTTATTTTTTTTAAGACGGAGAATTTGTGGAAATGAATGAGGAGATGTTGCAAAAACTAGAAAGATTGAAATGTTTGAGAATCAATTTAATCTTCATATACAAAATGTAGTTCTCCCTCTGTTGGCTTAAGAAGCTGATGATCGTTGAATCGGAGTCCTCACAAATAGTTTGTTTGAGAAATGCGTTGAGCATCGACATTGCCCTTACATGATCAGCGCCTGTACATTTAATTGGATTTCGCACGTGATTGTTTTACATAATTGTCAAAGAGAGATAGAGTGAGAATGTAGAGGGATAGTGAAGTGGAGGAGAGAAGGAGAGAAAGAAAGAAAGAGAGAGAGAGAGACAGAGAAAGATAGGGGAGGGGTAAAAGGAGCGGGAGAGGAAGGGGGCAGAAAGAGATTATATATATATATATATAGAGAGAGAGAGAGAGAGAGAGAGAGAGACAGAGAGAGACAGACAGACAGAGACAGAGAAGGGGAGGGGAGACCAAGGTCAAAGATGGGAATATTTATATGTGTAATCTTTATGAGCAATTACAGTTTACCATTAATATTAATATTACCAACGCCTGTTAATGATTTCATTGGCTCTATGCCATACACATATAGTTTATGAATATAATATCAGGTTCATATCGAAACAAGGTGCCATATGTTTTCTTTTCCCAACCTTATCGGAGAATGAACTATTTTTGTTTTTTCCCTCCAGAGATTAGAATTAAGATATCTTTATTGATGTACGTCGGTTCAAACTTCAGTCAAGGGAAAACATTACATGTAGTCGAGTAATTACCTTTACGTCAAGCATCTATTTTTATTGTATCTATTTTACTTAGGGCCTATTTATGGTATTTAACTAACGACATAATGACATTACACTGGTTATATATCTAGTTCAGTGTGACCAATTTCATCATGTGCATGTAATCTTTGACAGACAGATAAATACATGTTAAGAAAAATAAGTAATTCATCCGATATTTGTTCGTTCTGGCTTCTTAATGTCTTCTTAATTAAAGACTCGTATAGTTATGACGCGGTTTTCCTTATGATGATTTAAAGTTTTGACGTTGCTTCCTCCCTGTTTCTTGTTTCCCCCTTTCTTTCCCTCTTGCGCCATTCGGCAGTCTACTTTCAAACCTCGGCCTTAAACGTTCCTATTCAATTTTACATACAACTTAATTGCCACTACTCCAGTCCAAGGAGTAACTCCTTGTCCAGTCTTTTCCTTATCTACTGCATATACAGAAATTGCCAATCATACCAGCGCCCGTGACAATGCCAATAAGATATTGGACTCTACAAAATTCCCCATTGAAATGGCCTAGATTAGATGGGGTGAAGGGGAACATGGTCCGTGCCCCCCCCCCCCACACACACACACACACTCCCATATCACTGGTTATACTATTCCATACACGTTTTCTTATCATTTGAACCACTTTGATACAGATTAACATGAACGAACGACCACAACCACTTCCACCTCCTAATTGTTGTAACATAATACCTTGAACAGGATCATAAAGACTTTCAAGAAATCAAATCAATATCCCATTGTTTTGACTTTAGAAAACGTGTACGGATTATGTAATATGTAACTGTTATAATCTTATCTTTCATGGGTTGTGTATTGATTTTGTTTTGAATATTTTTTTTGGAATTGAATTGAATTGATTTATTGTCCATAAAAATGGAATTTCGTTGTTCACTGGGACAGGTGTGTTACAAACAATGTACACAATTATACAGATTTTAAAACATAACAACAACATAACATCAATGGCGTTACATCCCACAATACGATGTTTTACGATGAAAGTATATGTTTTATTGGATTTATCTCACACCATCTTAGTTGAAGGCTCTTGCAAACACTTCCAAACACACTTAATTATCAGTGATAAGTACATCATTTAATTTGAAGAGTCAGTCATGTAAATAGCAAAGATATATTTCAGATACACCGCACTTCTAATGGGTAGACACTTGCTCTTTCGAGCACTTGCAAACAAACCCATTTTGATTAAAAAACATAATAATATAGAAAAATATATCTGTTATCATTTAAAAACATGATGATTAATGGATATTATCTTGTTGCATAGATATGTAAGTGGTACATGTTCAAAGGCAATTGAACTATTGATCTTTGACGGCCTACTTTCTGATTCTTTGAGAAGGTTGCTGTGTTTATTCAATCTTAGGATCATGAAACTAAATATTTCAAGCGACATGGTTTGCCTGAGTCGATACAATTATGAGTTTGACTGTGCAAAAGTTGCTGTAACTAATCAAAATGTTATTGTCAGTATACAGTAACTGAATAAGCACCAAAGGACAAGGTACGTTTTAAAATATTTTGTGGATTGGAAGAACAAGGTCTGATACAAATAAGAGATTTTTTTGAAATGCTTTGAATTCTAATTATTTCTATATTATGATTATGATTAAATAGTAGTTTGTTTTATATTTTTTAAAAGGAGACATTCATTTTTCACTCAGGAAAAGATTTTTTTTTTTAAACAGAAAACATCATGCAAATAGGGAAGTAAATTGCGATAATATGTACATGCAGTCTCGTCCATGATTACCTGTTTTTTCATTGTTTTATAACTTGTATTTTTTGAGTACCGACTCATAATTGAGACTCGACCAAGGTCTAAGTGCATTATGACTATTGGCCGTGTCAATATTACAAAACGAATATCACCCGAGAGTTTTTCCAACACGTTATTCATACAAATGTGATATGGGGGAAATGGGGGAGGGAGTGGTTGTTGATGCCCCATCTACTATGTCCTTTGTCTGGGGGGGGGGAGAATTTCGCACTAAATTTGCCTACAATCAGTCGAAAGTCTTCCAACATGCAAGCGAAACAATGCAAAAAGTCATCATTTTGTTCGATATGTAGACAAAACGAAAATTAACAAATTTGCCGACAGGTGAATCTTGAACCTTACATACCCCCGGCTTTGATAAGGTATAGCTGTCCAGTTTGCAATTATTCATTTTGTCCCGCAGGGATTGACCTTTAAATTTAAATGTTTGCTTTTATTCCAGTTTTATTTGTTTTATGATAGCTGCTCTTCCTGGCACCAATAAACCGTCCGATTATGGGCGACGAAACAAGCAATATTATGTGTATGGGATGGGAGTTTTTACATCACAATTCAATACTAGTTGATGACTGGGTATTATAGGTAATGCTGTAACGCCAGTTTAGTTTTCATAAGTTTACTGTTAATGAAGTATATAGTCCTGTGTTCTATATAATGTTGCATACTTCATCTCTCTCCTCCAGATCATACATCGTGCATTTTGTTTTCTTTCAGTTTAGTCATGTAAATAAATCTAAAGCAGAAACTAGTCGGTATCAACTCAAAGTTGCCCAGCATGTGACAAAAATTTCCAAATCCACTGTGAAAATACACCTGATATTGTTTTTGTTTGTTTTCGGCTCCTTTTGTTACACTTTGCACTCATCACTGTAAAAAAAAAAAAGAAGGACAACCACTCTGTCCACCATCACTATCTCATGATCAAGATCAATCAATGCAGCCATACTCACATCACCATCATCATCAACTTAAACATCATCAATTCATCATTATCATCATCGTCATCTTCTTCTTCATCTACTTCTTCTTTTTCGTTTTCTTTTTCTTCTTCTTCTTTTTCTTCATCATCATTACCATCATCACCACCAACATCATCATCATTATCATCATCATCATCATGAATGATCAAATCCAGCGCTGCATTCTTCATATAATTATGGAGCTAGGACCTGACGCATCGTACTCTTTTTTCACATAATTATTTATTTACTTTTGTATACACATTTTTACAAGGAATATTACATGAAAGAATGTAGCTCCCGATGAATGAAGACACCACGTGACTCTTACGACAAAACATGTATTTTTGTGCGAAATCGGAGCTCATAAATTCTTTAAAACTACATATTAAAGCTGAACAAAAAAAAAGACTCTTGGAATTTCAGTATTTTTTATGCGAAAAAACTGTGAAAAGAATATCTCTCTAGACTGCCAGCAAGCAACTAAAATTCTAAATTAGTTTGTTTTTAAAAGCCGAGATAATCGGAACTCATTGAAATCGAACGCGATACAACTAAACTATCCAGTAAGCGTAATGAAAATGTTTTGGTCCAAAATTGGTACGATTCTTCTCAGTTACACCGAGACATTCAAGTTGACCGACAGCACACGAGACCGGCAGCCCATGAGACAGACCAGTGGCATACGCAGGATTTTTTTTCAAGGGGATTGTTTTAAAATTTGAAAATTGCGGGGGGGGGGGGGGGGTAAAAGCAAAAAAAAAATGTTGTCCCGGAAATTGCCAAATTATTTCGTTCAGTGGCTTGGGGGGGGGGGGGGACACTTTTTTGCCCCCTCCGTTTGCGTACAGCCTGAGACTGACAATGTCGGTCCTTTTGGTCCAAAAGGTCGACACTTTCGGTCCGAGGGCCGTCGGTTAACTGGGTTTTTTACATGTGGCGTTTTACCTTATCATGTTACGTTCTAAATGTTGGATAAATGATATTTTAATACTTGCATTAAACTGTACTTAAGAAGAAAGAAAAGTTTATAGAATTTCGATGGGGGTACATACTGCAACATAAGTGATAATATAAGTATATACATGAGAATAGTACTATTCAACATATTTACAGAATATATATATATATATATATATATATTGTGCCGTTCTTCACAAAAAGTTGATGTCCTATGACTGGACAAAATCCATTAAAAAATGATAAGCTGTGAAGCTGAGTTGATACTGCAAAACTTTTGTTTTGTTTCTTTGCTTTCCTTGATCCAGCTCCTTACAACCATTTTCTTTTACTTTTACATTCAATATCTATGTAATCTTCATTTCCTAAACACACATACCACACCTTGGAGTTAATTCAAGTTCTTAATAATACAACAAATATTGAATCCGTGACTGGGCAAGATTTCCATTATACCATTTCCATTGTTATCTGAAAAAGTAACCAATTTGATCATGTAATGTAAAGTTTAATTAAATAAGCCGAAACTAGACTCCCAACCTTAAATTTCATCGTCTGCTGTGAGCAAATTTGGGCGTTCATATTATAACGTTCAAAAGAATAAACATTAATAGAAATGATGACACTTTTCACTGCGATCATCATATCACATTCAAACAAGCTTTTATGATTATATGCACAACCAGAACGAATTCACTGATAATACAATAACATATTTTATTTACTTGAAGCTCATTAATACAAGGGGGTCTACTCGCCCTCGTGGGTGTATTATGCCTATTTTTCTCTCCCATCGTGCAGAAGTCACTGTAACGTAACAATGGTGACCCTTGGACAGGGTTTTATACGGTCAATTTTTGTCGATGTCATCTTATCTAATATAGTAGTCGCATTTTCAAGATGATCGTCAAACGCAGAGTAAATAGGATTTCGTTTTTATGTTTGTTGATATAATACAGTGCAATATAAAAGTCCTAGTTTGGGGGTGTTACGGGCAAGTGACATAAGACACAATAGTTGAAGTTCAAGTGAAGATTAATACTATTCGTGAACTGTAAAAATTGCAACACCTCAAATACCGCTTATGTAAATTAAACAACCCAGTTATCTAAAGAAACGAATAAATCGTTACCAATGCACCGTTTTCTGAAAATGTCGTTCTCTCCTTGTTATCAGTTAATTTACGTCCCCATTCTGATCGATATTTTGCTATTTTCTCTTCACCTAATCAGTAATACTGTTTTGATTTGAATATCTGGAAGAAACATTGTTAAGAACACACAAACAGTTGCACAAAATAACATGCACGACTTTGTGTTTCGACTGTAACGACTTCTCAATCAAAGAGAGATTAGAGAATATTTGACAACCCTTATTTATCTGTTTCTGGCGTACAAAGAGTTAATGCGAAATTGCCTCAAGCTATAAAGCTGATATAAAACAAAATGGATCTAAATTCTGGTCATCAGATTAAAACCCTCACAAACATTGTGCACAATCTCCTCACTGGTAACGTCATCTATATTCCTACAATTTGGTCACCGTAAAAGCATATAAAAAGTCTAACATAGCTTTTGCATCCTCACATGTCCCAATATCCTTAAAAGGGGAGTGGAAGATGTAAATTATTATATTTAACTAAACGACGACAATTATAATAATGATACATGTACATTCGTTTATTTATAGCGCTCTTACAGATAATAAACGATATACAGTGCTTTACAGACAAAATGACAGAGTTCAAGTTAATGTGAAAATGACAGAATTTGATGATTATCACTGAACAGGAGACATTTCATGCTAAATATATCAATCTCTTTGACAGTTTGTTCTCTATGATACACAATGCATTCCTTACGAGCTGGGATTAATTAATATTTCGTCCCAAAACCACTAGATATCCATATTTCGAAATGTAAATCGTTGTTGTGGGCATTGCAGAATATATCAATCTTTATTTTTGCAGAACACATAAGGCTAAGCAAATGAATATTCAGCCTCGTATAATAATGAGATATCATTGGTACGCATATCATGTGAGATAATGGCAGGATGTTGTCTTTCACTCAAGATAACAGAACTCCTTAAAGCTTTAAAACTGATATTGGCTCCTCAGAATTTTGTGTCAACTAAATGGAAATGATGTTTTGGTATTGAATCATCATAACATTAAAACTTCGACAAGATATTGCAGATAGACAACTCTGAGGGGAGAACAAAAGCAATGTGAAAAGAAGAAACCCACAGTGAATGAGAAAGGGAGATAGACAGAGAGAGAGAGAGAGAACAAAATAGAAAGGTGAGAGAGAGAGAGAGAGAGAGAGAGAGAGAGAGAGAGAAAGAGAGGGAGAGGGAGAGAGAGAGTAAGAGAGCGAGAGAGCGAGAGAGGGGGAGAGGGAGAGAGAGAGTAAGAGAGAAGTAAAAACGAGAGTGACACACAGTAGAGAAAGAGAGAGAGAGAGAGAGAGAGAGAGAGGGAGAGACGTTTTGAATCATTTAGGGGGAAAGATATGTGTAGAAATGGATTTTCAAAAAAGTGAACTTTTATCTATGAGTAAGCTAAATAACAGCCTTTCAGTTCCCATAGTTCTAATTGCTAATTGTAACCGATGAGAGAGAAAGGAAAGAAAAGCACCAAATCTCCACATGAGCCAATATGTGTACTGTTTGCATTGGGTGTGCATTGCATCTTTTGAGCAATCATATTGAGTAATATATCAATACTCGAGGTAAAAAAATAATATCCAATTTCCAGTCCCTATCCTTTTCCATGTTCTGTTCCATTTCCGAACAAAATGTGCGCGAACGTTCCATTGTTAAATTAGGCATTTTTTTTTTTTACACAAATATGAAAATATGACCAACGTTGTGTCCGATTTTATGCGAAGCCCCTTCTTAATAAAGTTGATCAACAACAGCAGAAAAAGGTGGCTGTTACTTGAACAGATTTAAAGCGGAGTGTTGTCTTCATCGTGGTGTGCATATGTGCCATTGGTGTACGCATGTAGGTCGCTGTCTTTCCTGTCTGCCATTTTCTTTCCGTTAAATGTGACTTCGCCGTTTTCGAGAGCATCGATCGCGTCTGATTTTGCGAGGTCTTTCTTGGACAGCTTGGCGACGATTGCGGCACCGAATGAGTCGCCCTCCACGTTGACCATCGTTCGGAATCGGTCACTAGGATGTGAGAGATGATGAAATTGCGAATGAACGAACATCTATTTCCCAAATTTTTCGAATACATAAAGAGACACTTGCTATACAGGTGGCAATCAAACTAGCTGTTTGCCCTTATCCATGTATACAATAGGGACTTTTAGATTTGTGTGGATTGATACGTGTGACGTCCATTCAATGCAGTACATTAAAAGGACGTCGATCGTAGCAATTCACATTGTCTTCGTGCAAATCTAAAAGTCCCTAATATAGAACATAAAATGACATCAATCGGCAATAACAATGATAGATTGGCTGAAAGGTGTTCAGGCAACTGTTACTCTGCGTTCAATTTCTACCACTAACCAAATTCCTACGTATGGTCCTACTATGGCCCACAAAATACATCTACCCAATCGCATCACAAGCCCTATTATACTCCAAATCTTTGGTGACATGAATCCAGGAGCATTTTGTCGCCGGAGAAAATGTCCTTTATTATCGTCAGTCACCGAGGAAAAGCTAGCTAGGGTCATCCTCATGACCATCGATAGGGTGTAGGCAAAGATTGTTGATATGGAATATTGTTGGTGGCGGAAATAAAATATGACCACAGTCAATAATAACGCAACAACAGGCTAGTCACAATTAAAAGTGAATAAACCTGTGTTACTTTGTGTTCTGTTTCTTTTAAAATCCCCGGTGACGAGATTTTCATGAGATACCTTGTTTCATTTTAAATCAAAACAACACTATTAATGACTATACTTACAGGATAAAATCAACTGCAAGGATGAGGGCGACGTCGTCTGTAGGTAGGCCGACTGCGGTAAGGACGATAACGAGGGTCACGAGACCAGCCTGGGGGATACCGGCTGCTCCGATACTCGCGAAGGTCGCCGTTAGACTGAAGTAAATAAAATGAAATCAATAATTAATTCCAGTTTTGTAAACATTTAAGAAAATTTGCTGACGGCATTACAAAGGCGGAATCAGAATTGTTAGAAGGATGGGAAGGGTGAAATGTTTGGATATATCGCAAAAGTCGTCGATCCCTTCATCTCCTTGGAAGCGTAATTTCATGAATGTGTGGGAACTATACGAAACTTTTTTTTTTCAATCATAGGGCGGCGGCAGGTGCTAGTTTCCATCAGAGCCATCTATACACAGAGTTTGGCAAACCCGGTTCGAGTTGGACACATTATGGCGACTACTGCTTTGTTGGGCAACCACAAAACAAAAGAATATACGCCATGTTGTGACCCAGTGAAACCAAGTTGGCCAAACTCTGTGTATAGATGGCTCTGTTTTCCATAGTACGTAATGTGGATCCACCTATGTAATATGAGATTACAAATGATAACATTTAAATATGACACCCTATAGTTGGATTATTTATACAGACATGTTTTAAGTAAAGAGGTTTCACTGTTTTTAGCCAGCAAGAGTTAGAAATTTCAACAACAACAACAACGATGACTATCCTCGTAAATTAATTAGCAATATTATTTGTGAATCAATATCTTACCTCATTGTCACAATCATGACAATATCGTTAAAACTGAGTTGGAAGTTTTAGAATGGAGGTATCATGATTTTGCCAGCGGGAGTTAGAACTTTCATGAACAATAACGACGACGACAACGTCATCAACGAAAATATCAAGAAACCGTTACGTTCCTATACTCGTAAATTAATTAGCAAAATTAAGCCTTGTGAAAATAATTGATTGGCCTAACAAATGACTTTGTGCTTACCTGATTGTCACTAAATCGGCAAAACTGAGCGGGATGTCGTTAACTTGGGCGATAAAGATGGCAGCTACTGCCTCGTAGAGAGCGGTACCGTCCATGTTAATGGTAGCACCGACCGGGAGAACGAACCGTACAACACGGGGATCGACACCTAGACCTTCCTCTAAGCATCGGGTAGTCACTGGTAGGGTTGCCGAACTGTGGAAGATTTTTTTTAAAGTGTCATATCATTGCCCATTGTACACGATGCGTCACTATACGATTGCATTATTACCTACTCTGATGAAGATTTTAAAGACAATTATTAAGTGCATGTCAGAGACTATAAATCATTGTTTGTGATGTACATTTTAATTCCGTGATTGTAAATACAATCCGATTTGGAAGAAGGATGCCACTTATTGAAAGCCATTTGCAAGTATGCATTATTTTGAGAAAAAAAGATGTAGCTTATGTGCAACACGTTGTCGAATCAATACTTTGCCTAACATTCCTTGCAAAAATGATGTCTTCTCAGTAGAACCGAAATCAGATTAACCTTCATAAGCACTTAATCCGTAACCCAAGTTGTTCCTGTACTGAGCCTATATGAATAACTCAAAATGGGAGTCGACGAGTCTGCAGTCATAGAGTTTTTACAGTTTTAACTAAAGATTCAATCATTAAAGGACAAGTTTTTTGTCACAAAGTATACTACCTCCACTCCCCACAACATAGAGGAAAATTGGGTACCTAATGTCCTTTGGCAAGACATTGTTCTACATTTGCCACACTCAACCCAGGTGAGGTAAATGGGTACCTGGTAGGATTATTCCTTGAAATGCACTGTGCGCTGATAACGGCTGCCGGAGCTAAAGCTAGGGTAATAATTTCCAAAGCTCTCATTGGAAGCGCGTAGAGATGTTATTTCATGAAGTATTATGCGCTATACAAGAACTGAACTATTATTATTATTATTTTTACCTCGAAGAAGTTCCGAGAGCTGTAAAGAGAGCCTGGGTGACGCCTGCCAAGTACTTGTAAGGATTCTTCCTGACGACGACCACGTAGAGGAGAGGGAGGATGATGATCCCGTGGATGGCTAAACCAGAGAGGACAGTGGCCATGTAAAGACCGAGCTGGGTGAAGATCACGCTCCAGTCTTCGACGCCCACCATGCTACCGGTGATGAGGAAGAGGATACCAATGGGAGCGTACCTGCGAGGGGTGGCATAATAAAGCAAAAATGTACTTCATGAGAATAGAAGTTCCTTTTTGGAGTGAGGGTAGGTAAGGATGTGCATAAAGGGAAACAAAAAGCTAGGGATATACTGTAATTATAAAGAGAGAACGAAAGAGAAAGTGAGAGAGATCAAGAAAGGGGATTGTTAAAATTTTTTTTTTGAAAAACACCATTAAGTGGAAAATGGTACACTCTGAAAAGAAGGGACAGTAGAAAGTTTGGCTCCACTGATTGCCTGGCTTATACTTATAATTACGATCAATAGTAATAACGATCTCCCTATGAAACAATTGTCATAAATGTTACTTTACTAGTATTAAAATAAATGAAAATTTAAGATTTAAAATAAAAGTGAGTTACAATCAGCAATTACTGTTTAGGGTTACAGAGACATGCCAGAAAGTAATAAGGAAAGTGAATGTGAAGTATAATGTTATCATTTGGGGAGTAAGAGAGGTGATAGTAAATTGATAAGAGCTGAAAAGACAGGAAAAAAATGTTTTACAGATGACTGGATGATTTCTCTTACCACATGATGATCATGACGAGTTTCATGATGGCCTCATTAGTAGCAGAAAAGAAGCTGATCACCACTTTTCCATCGTCACCCAACCGACCAACGATGATACCGAAGGCAATGGAGAAGACGACAAGCCCTAGGATATTCATGCTGTAGACGTAGGTCCCTTCCCAAACCGTCTCAATCACTTCAGTGGTGTTACCCCTGTACCAGATTGTGTAATCCGTACTCTCTTGCAGGACATCAGCCATGGAGTTCACGACCCCATTCATCTGCGTGATGATCTGATTAAGCTGTAGAAGAGAGTCCATCTTGAGCGTACGTGGTGTGTAGAGGACCATGGAAAGGTGGTTGAGGGCGCCTGTCATATCATGTAGGAGTGTGCTGATCTGGTTGAGGAAGTCCAGAGTGTACACTTCTTCGGTCATGTCCATCAGGTACACCAGGTTGGTGGACAGCTTCTGCATGGACTGGGAGACGTGGGATAGGTCGAGACGATCGCTGCTTTGCAGATCTTGCATTGTCGCCAGGACAAGATTGATCAAATTGACGTTCATGATATGAACCTGCCTGGTGAGCTGTACATCGTCCGGTTGGAACATCGTAATAAGATTAACCAACTCAACCACTTCTGCGTTTGATGTATGGATAAGGGAACTCATATGAAGCGGTTCTACCATGTACACCACGTCGTTCATTGAATATATGATCAAATGAAGAGCTTGTGACGTGGCGTTTAGTGTGGGCACGTCGACCATATCTAGGGTCTTGAGGCTTGATAATAACTCAGTTTCTGTTTCACCCGCTGCCCATAGTACCATTCCAGTCATGTTACCCAAATGCGTCATATACATTTCATCCAGCTCTCCCGTTGATGGAAGATCATCCACAACGGCTCTCAGATCATCAATGTAGGTTGAGAACTCTCCAAGGAGATTGCTCACCGGAATCAGGTTCGATCCAGGATTACTGCCACCGGCTCCTTGAACTGATTCCATTAAGTATGTATAGGTCATGTCCATGTCCTGAAGAAACATATCCATGTCATCACTGACGGTTTTGGCGTCGAGGGCCATCATTCTGAAGTCCATGGTCTTCTGACCAATGGTCTGGAGGGTTCCGTTGATGAAGCCCATGGATTGGTGAATGGTCAGGCCGGACATCAGGGTCAGGTTAAGGAAGTCACCCGTGGTCAAAGAAGGAACCGGCACCACTGTCTTGATGCCTGCCGTTTTGAACTGAAAATAGAATACACAGAAGTACTTATATTACCTATAGACCTAAAGCTGTATCAACAGAATCGCAAAGAAATCCAAACAAAAACCAATCTAAAGCAATTTCAATTGCCTCGTGCATAATTCATAGAAACTTGCGAACTTCACAGGATTGTGTAATCTTCATAAATTATGATTTTTCTCTGGGCAATATACATCATATAGTGGAGTATTGAAATTGACATTCATTTTGATTTCTAGAAAGCCTTTGCGATCGCGTTTCTAATTTCTGCAGGATGACGACACAGCACACGAAATACATCCAATCAAACATGTAAGGACTTCTGCAGACACACAATCAAAACATTCTACACGAACGGTCATCCACGCACAAGCTCTAACAATCTTATGCCATCCGATTAACGAGTCAAAGACGACACCAATCAGTTATTCATTCGTTCAATCAATCCCTTCATCAATCAATAATTTTATCCATCCATCAATCAACCAATCAATCAATCAATCAACCTATCAACCTACAAGAAGGACATTTCTTGAATCACTCCATTTTCAAGTGGACTTCAACAAAATTTACCCCTGAATTGATGACCCATAATATTTTCAAGTAACGTTAATCTCACGGAAAATTCTAAATGGGGTAGCTGAAACTAATTCGTATTCAAACGGAACGACTACCAAAATAACATGTCACATGCAAGGAGAAAACAATTGTTTATAATTATGTAGATATAAATTTATGGATTTGGATAGTCAATGAAATGATAAAAGTGATTTATAATATAGATATTGTATTCTTTAATCATGTTTATGGATGAATCGTACGGATATAAATTGAAAACGTAATTCAATCATAATCGACACCGACCGATTACAGATAATCATTTAAAGTTTTGGAAATTTTTGTTCATTCTTATCCTTGACTTTACAATTTGTCAGTTATACGCTAATGTGACATGTCATTATAATATTGAATCCATTTGAAGACGTAAAATCATGTATATTCAACATTCGTTTTGGTAGAACCTATCTGCAAAGAGAAATCTAACTACATGCTATAGCCAAAATGCAAAATTCCTGTGTTTAAAAAAGCAAGAGCTGTCCAGTCTCGTCTTGCCAGACTTCGGAAAGCCGGGGTGGTCCCGTCGCACCGTTTTAGCTCCGGGATGGCGCGAAAAAAAGTTAAGAAGATTCCATAATTACCGTTCTGAAGCAAGCTTCGACAATGTTCTCTGGAAACATATTTCTGTAATTGAAAGAAATGTCGGTATCAGGAGGTTAGTGAAAAATGTGAAAGGAATAATTTTGTTGACGAGTTTGGAATCTCATCAAATCGGGACTTTATCAGCACCGTACCAACTTTCCTGCCTGTGAAAGAAAAGAAACTTTCATCTAGAATTTTCACTGAAAGCTTATAATTCCAAACGACGCATAGACATTAACATTAACACGATCGCAGCTATACTTTCAAAAATTGACCTCAGGTAATTTTAATATAGCCTTGTGCGTCATCTATTGAAATGAAGGAACATGGCAATGACGTGTGACGTAATTCGAACATTAGTTATATGGGACATACAATAGGGTATTGAAATATTCCCTGAGTTGATTTTTCGATAATATAGTTGCGATCGTGTCAAATTCTAGTCGCATATCATCGTCAAAGCATCTACAATCTAGATAAAAGTAAAACATGATAACAGATTGTACTTTTTTCTTTGTTTCATCTTTTTAAAAGCTCAGTTTCTCTTTGAAGTTGCTTCATCAATTATTACTGAATGCTACAAATGTTCTCAGACATTACACGTTAACACACACGCACACAAACGCACCCCATACACACCATCCATTGCCCACACCCACACACATGCAAAATTCAATTAATGCACATATCAATTCATCAATTGTTGAAACATGATACATCGCTATCAGAATCTCGACAAACGCCTTATCAAAGCTTCAACGCCCTTCTTTCATATTCATCGCCTGCAACATCTTTGTTCTCAGGAAAATGGAAGCATATGGATAAATCTATAACAAGTAGTTTCGACATTTCCCCCTTTACAAATCAAATAAATCATTGTCAAATTCGAGCGAAATCTTCGCAAGGCGATCATTCATTCTTATACATTTCAGTATTTACATTATGTTTTAGACCATCTCGGGCGAACATTATACATTATTTACATTATCTTCTAAAGCATCTCGGATGGAAAGGGAATGCTCATGTGTCTCCTCGCAAACAAAATGATCTAATATTGGTGCGGTATGAGAAAAGTGCGAATTTGGGTCATGTACATGTATGAATAAGAGCTATATTTCTGGCGTCTTGTATACATTTATATCACGTGATGAGACGAATGGCGGGAAAATATAGTAAAAGTGGCAGCTGTGTTTACATGCGCGTGCGGTATCTGACGAATTGACGTAAATGAGCATGTAATTTAATCATCACCAGATAGTACTGTTCATATTAAATAGATAAGTAGGATAAAAGTTGGATTATCAGCGTAAGGTTTTAGTATTACAGGATGTGCCCATATTTGTTTTGTTTTTCTTCAGGTAGGACGAATTTAGGCAATATTTGGTATTGACTAACAATTATTTTAATATCAATCGTTGTTTCTTTGACTATCGCTCGTATGAGATAAAGGGATACCTGTTTAAGTATCATAATCCATAATTGTTTTCATGCAGAGGAGAACAGATTTTCCTGAGGGGACTTTGCAATGTTGTGTTTTTTTCACCGAAGAACTTTTAGCCAATGGATTATATCATGAGTAGAGAAAAGCGTGACCCTTCAATTACAAGTTTAAAACACCCTACTTTAATGAACAAAGTCATATTTTTAGCCCATGAATCATCGCTTTTATGATCTTTTGTTGTTGGCTGGCATTTGTTTGACTTGAAGAACCATTTCTCGAATCAAATCTATCTATATTTATATGAAATCTTGCTTGCGTGACGATAGAAACTAATTTGTGTTTGAATTGCCAAGGATGCAAAATACACACATCTCTATTTGTCATTGAATCAATGAATGACATTTGTTTGCCGTCGAGGATGGTATGATTACCAAATCAATACAAAACTAGTTCACATGAGATTATTCAACCTTTAGCCATACAAAATTATTGTTTTCTTTATTATTAATATAATGCCTCCAACATAACATAATTTTAAATTTATGAAACATAACACACCAGACTTCAAATCTCAATTTTATAATACGAATTAAGAAAGGAGTCTATCATGAAGCGCTCTTCGTTTATGAAGATTTTTTATCCAAAAATTACAGATTTTAGTAAAGTTTACATTGTGTAAGCATTTCAGGTAAATGACAGGGGGAGATAGAAGGAATTAAACAAATATAAGAAAACTAAACAATGACAACTGGTAACAACTGGTACACTGTATGAAAACAGCGTCATGCGTAATGTGACCACACCCTTTCCAATGCATTACGTTATCATTGTTGTAATAAGGGGTGGAGTTTCAATGATCGAATCAGCAAAGAAGAAAAAACTTATTGGGCACTATAATTGCTAAAATATTGCCATGAAAGGTAATAATAATAGTGATAATGATACTCATTTCTTGTATGATATAAATATTCATCAATATCTCCATGCGTTTCCAAAGAGCTTTGGATTATTACCCAGGCTCAGCTTAGCTGCCCAAATGAAGGCGATTAAGCTTTAATGGATTGGTGCCTATTGGTACCCATTTACATCACCTTGGCTGAGTGTGGCAAATGTAGATTAATGTCCTGGCAAAGGACGAATATGCTGTGGCAGATATTCGAACACAGTATATGGGATCAAAAGTCTGGTGACTTATCTTCTAAACCACAACACCTCTATAATAACAATTATAATTTTGTTAATTTAGTACATTTCAAGTTGATCAATAAGGTGTGATTTCAATTTAAAACAAATATTCTTTTGGGGGAATTTACAGAGAATGACGGAACAACATTGCATGGAAATAAATCAAATACTAATTTAGTTGTACACAAGGGGGTAAACTTGCTACCAAATTTTTCTTCCTACACCATGCAGTCCATTTAGTACACATGTGTTGTTTTGTTTTAAAACAAAATGGCGGATGTTGGATTTTGTAGGAATGCTGTCTTGTTAATGATTAGCTCAAAATACCATTTAGAGCCGGAGTCTCGTGCTGCTCTGCGTTTGAGCTGTTTGTTTTTGGTATTGTGACGTTGTATAGATGTGGTATAGGTCAGGGTTTTATTATTTCTAAACATTGCATAGTGCTGTGTACGACTCCCCTAAAAGGTGACGTCGAAGAAAAATCAGACAGTGATCTTTTATTATCATTAAACAGTTATATTTTATGACAAGCTGAACAAAAACAATGACATTTATCTACTACTAGTACAACAACAACAACAACAACTACTACTACTACTACTACTACTACTACTACTACTACTACTACTACTACTACTGCAGATGTTACCTGCTACTATTACTACTACTACTACTACTACTACTACTACTACTACTACTACTACTACTACTACTACTACTAATACTACTACTACTAGTAGTAGTACACTACTACTACTACTACTACTACTACTACTACTAATACTACTACTACTACTAATACTACTACTACTACTACTACTACTACTACTACTACTACTACTACTACTACTACTACTACTACTACTACTAATACTACTACTACTACTAGTAGTACTACTACTACTACTGTAGATGTTACCTGCTACCACTACTACTACTACTACTACTACTACTACTACTACTACTACTACTAATACTACTACTACTAGTAGTAGTACACTACTACTACTACTACTACTACTACTACTACTACTACTACTACTATAACTACTCGGACTTCTACTACTACTACTACTACTACTACTACTACTACTACTATTACTACTACTACTACTACTACTACTATACTACTTCTACTACAATGTACTTTATTTCTACTACTGTTTATTTTTAACATTGGTTATCATCATCGTCGTCATCATCATAATTTTTATCATTAATATTTGTATTAATATTATCATTATTGTTATTATTATCATTATTATTACTGGTGTTGCTGTTGTTTTTTATTACTATTATTGTGATTATTATACCATCATTGTAACGAATTTAACATAATTATTATAGTCATAATCATAACATGTACAAGGATATAATGATGATCAGAATGGTCTCAGTGATGAGAACTGATGATGTTGATAATAAACAAATGGCATTGATATAGCAAATAGCAAAACTATTTTCTTTTCCAAAGTTTGAGACATAAACTCTTGGGAGCTGCGTCAGCCATTTTGATCTCTCACTTGTCTTTTCAAACAAACCATTAACTGCTTAATAAAATTTTATTGTATGTTAATGTGCAAGGTCTTATCAACGTATTCAGTCATAAATATTCTACGCCTTTGTTAAACGTGACAAAGCGAAATAATACGAGTTGAAGTGTCATTCGCAGTTCCATAATGTTTCAAACAGATTGGATGAGAAACCGATAACATTATTTTATTTTGAAATATCAACCTTTACCTTTAAAATTGGCTCTTGTAAATTGTGAAAATAAATGAAAGAATTTCGAAACGACAGAAAATCAAAACATGTTGATGAAGAAAAGAAGAAGAAAAAATGCTGAATATAAGAATGGTTCCTTTTAATAGTATACTGGCTATGATCTGTTCTTTTTCGTGTTGAAATTATAAATAAAACTCTTTAAATCGGGTTTCTGCTATTGTACATCTAGAGAAAATTTATTTATTTGGGCTCCTTATTTCCATCCGTTAATATATTTAAGACATCGAGGCCTACTTGGCCTGTTAAAAATATTGTGTGACAACGCTATTCATTGATATGTACTTTCAGGTATGGCCCTTCACATCCTTTTATATCAGCCCCATGTATAGCATGCAGTTTACTTATGCAGTGGCGAATGTAAGGATGGGGAGGGGTCCAAGATGCGAGCGTCCCTCTAATTCTGGCCAGCCCTACTCATAGCATGAAAGTACAAGTCTTTGTCGACGCCCCTTTCTACTTCAAAATCCTTTATCTGCGACTGCAATGGCACACTTCTTTACAGATACTCAAGATTTTCAAGGTAAAAATGATGAACTCTCGTAGAGGGTTGAAACCGAGAGCCTTTAATGCAATCCGTTTTAGACCCTCTTTACATTCGAATCAATTTCAGTTGATCCTAGCCGTCCCATAGGGACGAATATGAAATATGAGTCAATACATTAGTTTATGAAATTTCGTTCAGGAGAAAAGTACACTACTTCTGTTTATTGGAACCATCAACCTGGGAGCATATTACTTTCCACATTCTAGTTTGTGAAAAAGGATTATGCCTAAGTGTTGAAATGAATTAATTTATCACATGTTGAAAAATTGAGCAAACTAATTGATCAAAGCTAATAAAAATGAACTACACGAAATAGTTTTTTGGGGGGCAGGGCGGGGGTTTTCCCCTGTCTATCAATTATTAAACGAATAATGTTTGTTTTATGTAACGTTTATAAAATGTATATTCGTAGGGACAACTTATTTATGTAATTGATATGTTAATTACATAGTTTAGTTCGCGTCAATTCATTTATTCAATGACTCAACCTCGAAAAAAGGTTTTTCGTAAATTTTCAAGCAAAAATATCATCAGTTTATTTCATTGTACATTTCATTTCGTATCCGAGAACAATCTCGCAAGGTGTCAGGAATTTCACTTTACAATTCATGTGATATCAGAAAAGACATACAAGAGAATGATAGCAAGTTGTCAAGTATAGCACCTTTGATGTCATGCCACGTAACAAGTCGAGATTAAGTTGTTTACAATTTATGATTACGCTTATTGCAAGTCAGAGTTCGCTCGCTCGCCTCGTGTTATGGGATGGTTACTCAATGTTTTGATTGGGCGTCGCTCGTCGGTTCTAAAAACCTACGTCATTTCTGAACCCGAAAATTGCCGCCTCCCATCCTTATTTTTTTCTCAAACGTATCAAATTGATTGATTGATAATTCTTTTTATTTTAATTACTAATTAGGCACGTTTTGGGTATGCAACGTTGATTATAGATTTATCCATATCGACACCATCCGCCTTTTCATCTGTCCTCTAATTTGTTTTCAATACCATTTCCATCATCTTCCCTAACGTCATCATCATCATCATCATCATCATCATCATCATCATCATCGTCATCATCACTACAGTCATTATCATCACCACCACCACCACCATCCTCATCATCATCACATGATTACGTCATCACAACCAAAACACATAAACTGCAAAACCATCATCTTTAACAACAAGATGAACGCCCACTCACAAACTTCGAACAATACAATAATAGTAATCGTACAACCGATAATTACTATTCAACGCTCTAGAGCACTACTTTTGACACTTATTTCGATAACATACTATAAGACTTTTCCACGAGATGTGATATTGTTGTGTTAAACATAACTACATAAGTTTTAAAGAATTAGGGAACGCCTGTGATAAGGGGTAAATAGGCACGTCACAAGCCATATTAACATGATTAAGCTGAATGTAGTCACTGATCGTGACGATGCAAAACAAAAAAACTACCACGAAACAAAATTCAATCCTTAAAATTATAACTGTAAATTTGTATGAAATGAATATCATTCCACACAATCATCATGAAGTGTGACTGTATTAATTAAATGTGGTTGGAAAAAATACTTTTATTGGTGTTTATAAGAAGGCTTTTTAGAATGGAAACCAAAGAGAAATCATGGAAGAATTGGACTTACAAGATGAGATCCATGAAGGCATAGGCTGTATTAACCTCTTCTTCCGTGCCATCGGGATCCTTCTCAGTTCCTCCTCGACTACCAGGCTGGATGGTGACCACCAGTATGATTCCGAGAATGACTGCGATCAGCGTGGTCAAAAAGTAGTAGGCCACCGCCCTGAGCCCCAGCTTTCCCGACATCGCCGAGTCGAGCGACGCCAGGCTGTTGATAAGACTGGAGACGATGAGGGGTACGATCATCATCTTCAGCATGTTCATGAAGAGGTTCCCGGGGAAGGTCAGGTAGTTGATCTGGTCTTGAGTGAAGTCATAGAAGAGCCCCAGAACGTACCCGAGCACGAAGCCCATGATGACGGAGGAGATCAGAAGGATAAGGAGGACGTTCTCCGAGTTCACCCATGATGGACATCGACGTTTTCCGCTATTGCTGTCCTCATCTGTATCACGAAATTCCGTCATCGTACCGTTCTCAAGGGCGACATCGTTGGCGTCGTGAACCACGTCTCCGTTTGTTGCATGGACCACGTCTCCGTTCATTCTCGTATTGTATATATTCCCGATAGCTTGCGCGACTTGTTTCAGAGTAGATGTGGGGTTGGCAAAGTTTTCTGCTGTTGTGTTGACAACCTCATCCATCGCCCCGCTGATAAAATATTGACGCTGCGATGGCGAATTCTACCAAATCCAGCAATCTGTTCTCATCTCATGGGTGTTTGCAAATGCTGATACGAAGGCGCAAAGGTTGTGTTTGTTTATCCTAATTGCATCATATAATACGGAACTGACTAGCACAGGAAATTTTCCAGAGGCGATTGTAGAGAATGATTAGCGAACCCTTGAGTGGAAAATGTCCCTCCACCTTGAACCCCTGACGGTCAGGTGTGCAAATTTTGGCGGGTTCAAAGTGCGCCAAAAGTGCGCCAACGAGCAAGGACAAGAGATGGGGAAATAAATGATGTATTCAGGATTGTGTTTGCTTCTCAACAGTGATTTCAATTACATAGCATGTGTATTAAACTCAGTAATTAAATGCATTATATCAACCAGTATTCATAGTAGTTTTAAAACCTTTAGAGCAAGAAGATTATTCAAAAGGTTTGATATGGAATCATCAATATTAGTGATTTAAAGTATCCTTGATTAAAAAATATATTTTGTTTTGATTGAGCTTCTTTACTCTCCTTCCATGGTACATATAGTTAGAATGCTAAATTTAAAGTTGTATTACTTTTATTTCTTAGCAAATATGAAAAGAAATACATATTCAACATGGGTTTAAATTGTATGAATTTGATTTCGTAGTCAATTTTTAATTAAGTGTCAAAAGCTACTTCAGGTAGGTAAAGCATGCTGTTTATGTATTAATGTTAAAGCCCATCTATACTAGTTTGGCATGGCGGGATAAGGCCTTCCTGCAAGGTCACTGGCAGGTGGTTATCTCATCAAATCAGCTCTCAAGTAACATAAGAAAAGGGGCATCATGAGGATCAACGGGTGCCGCTTAGGCCTTGTTGGCAGTATCTATAGCTAAAAGTAGTGCAGTGGGGCTTTAAGTTTCCTTTAATTATATTCACTGAATCCAATGACCGGGGTAATAGTATTTTTGTAAAACGCTTAGAGACATTTGTATTAAGCGCTATATAAAAGCTAAATTTTATTATTATTATTCTTTGGAAAATTCATTCACAAAAATGGTATTAATATTCGCCTTATTTATATTCACTTTTGTCATGGAATGCATGATGCAAACTTGTTTTTATGATAATAGAAACACAAAGTCATGCCTAAAGAAACTGTGTAATATTCATTTTAGATAGATAAATACAGGACTCTCTTGTGACGTGGTTTCATGTATACCCTTCTGAAAATATCTACCAACACTTCTTGTCAGGACTACACACACACTCAAGAAAGAAAGATTACCGACAGTCCTTTTCAGGACTCCCCAATCCCCCCTCTCTCTTACATGGTGCACCCGTAAGCCTACTGCATATCTACATCACCATGCAAGCCAATACTTATAATCAGCATCCAAATATCATCTTGTCTGAAGAACACAACACCAACAAATTAACGAATAAAATGATAAATAACTCTTGCGAAATTCATTTGAAATAGTAGCTCCTAGTATTTCTTAGTTTTCGAAAACTATATGGGATAAAATCAAACTAACTAAACCTTGTTAATAACCACGCAAGCACATTAAATACAAGCATCATCAAGTCCGGATTACGGGGCGATTAATGTATGGTTCTTTCGTCATCCCCGATAGCAACATCATGAACTGATTATAAATCAGATATCATATTCATTTTACACGCAGATTAGTTCCACGGCCATCCAGCTGACGCTTTATAATTAATTACAAATTTTGATTTTTGTTGCTGTTTGTTGTTGTTGTTTTTGTTGTTTGTAAGTCATGATGCTCGTTATCAAAATGATGCCCATCGTCGTCTGTTAGGGGCCTAAAGGGTGTTAGTTCTGTGTAAAATGATAACGAGGTTTAAGAAGACCTTATCCGATAACGTACAAATACAGGTATCCAATATATTGTTCGTTTCCCACTTACTGTTGTTGATCGTAAAGGCATGTTTTGGGGGAGGGGAGAAGGGGGGGGGGGTTGGGTTGGGGGTTTCTTTGAGGAAAGGCGGAGAAACACAATATTTGAGTAATTCGTCAACCTTTAATACCATATTGTGTAGATATTTCAAGTTCCCGTGATTCAGTACTTTAACCTAGTCATAGGAGAAACTTAGAGCTGGAAATGGTTTAGGGGTGTGTTCGGGGCCGGTTGTTTGACCAAGAAATTTTCCCGCGCTAACATGATTATATACGATGTATCTTTTATTTTGACTGAGGAGCTGATGGCATGGAGAGAAAGAGGGAGAGAGAGAGAGAGAGAGGGAGAGAGAACTGATTATTTTGACTGTATATGGAAGAGTTTTAATGTGCCATTATATTGGTCGTTTTGGGCATATTCTAAGGAAGATGAATAAGGGAAAACGCCATCATTCCATGTGGACTATTTCCTGTTTGTGTTCCGAATTTAAATTTAGTCAGAATCGGCAATTTTTAGGAGGAGAACATGTCACTGTATTTACCCATTCGTTGAAAGATTATTCAAATATTCAGGTAGAACGAAAATAGAATCAAAACTCCTATACATTTCGTGAGTAAATGTTGACCCATCTCCCAGGTGAAAAGGCTTCTGGATAATTGTAAAGGTACATGCTCGTCCAGTATAGGTGTGCAAGCACGGATGAACCTGCGTCCTACATTTCTAAAGTGATTGTTTGAGTTGAAAAATGATGTGCTTTATTGATAAAGATGAGCTTGCAAAACTTTTTTCTTTTGACTAGTGTGTCTCTAGCTAGAAAAAAAAAATGAGAAAGATAACTTTATAGAATCATGAAGTATGTGCAAAATGTATGATTCGTTGATGTAAATCGCATAGATCTTATACAAATTAGCGACTCGACGCCGCCTCCTCACTTTCCCCCACATTTTTTGTTCGTTACATTTCAGATTTTTCATTTTTTGGACACACCTATGTAAAAAAAAATTCCTTTACATTGCGAAAAGTTACAGCAATAATTATTTCGCACATTTTTCCTTGAAGATTCAAGCAATGTTTTACATTCTAAGAGCAGAAACGGGACATTTTTGTTAATTTTATGTATAAAAAAGGGGTTTATACATTCTTATTGTTACGTATTAACATGTGATTTTTCTTATCTGCTAGGCTTTCCAGAGGTGTGAGTACATAAACTAGGTTATTTGTATCTAGAAACCAGCGTTCTTTCCCCTTTTCTATCTTTCTAAATATCAAGTCACTCTCTCCCCCTCGTTTCTATTTTATTTTAGTTAAACTAAGGGCTGAAAGTAAATCAAGCTTTAATAATATCCTATCATGTTTATTGAATTTATATCAACAATATTATGTATTAAGCGTGTAACTTATTTTTCTGTTTTATTTGTTTTACATGCTCTATGTTTCATATATTGTATTCGAAAAGGGTATTAATGATAATGTATCAACATTTAAATGTCACTGTAATGTACATGAATTTTATTTTGGAAAGAGAAAGATGAAACAAATGGTATAGAAATCAATAAATCAAATCAAATCAAATCATATTAGCACGGAAAAAATTACACTCTTAATCATGCTCATGGCGTTAATACGTTTCCTAAAATGAATAACAGAGTGAAAAATACAAAAGAAAGGTTCCAATGTGCACATATAAATCCAAAAAGTATTGATTTCATGGGATACCTTTCTCCTGTATCCCTGTGTAAAGAGAGGAAAATCTAGATTGGAGCATATAGGTTCATGATTGGAGTCTTTATTACAACACGAAAGCCACCGTACTATTTACATTAGTTCAATTTGGATCGATTCGATTGTATAATTGTGGATTTCTTGTTTTACCGGCTATAGTCCATTATTATCTTTTTATCGTCATCATAAACAACAGCATCAACAACACCATCATCACTATTACCAACATCATCAACTGCTGCTGCGACAACCCGGCGTCCATCAACGAAAACGCTACTACTAATACCATTTCTATGAACAACAACGAAATCATCATCATCATCATATTATTAAATATCAATGATTTTCTTTCCAAGGGAAGCCATATCAGGAACAGAGCTTCTCGAGAGCCCTGCAATACTACCCAAGCAATTGCCAAGTACTCGTTTACACCTGGGTGGCGAGATGCAAAATGGGGACCAATGCCTTGTCAAAGGACATAAGTGCCTGGCTGGGATTCGAACCCTCAACCCTTGGATCGAGTGTCAAGTGAATGAACCACTACACCATGCCAACTCCACAATAACACCATCATCAACAACAATTTAAAAAATGATAACAACAACAGCTGCAGCAATGAGAGAAAATAGTTTTTTTGTTTCCATAAACAATTATTATAGTAGTATTACTTTAATGCAATTCCTTTACACGTAACATATACATAAAACACCCCTGATGAAATGAACACACAATATGGATAATAACACCGTGATTAATTAATATATATTGTGATTATATTTTATTTAAAAAATACAATTTAAAAAGTATCTGAACAACGAGTTTAAATGGAAGACCATGATATCATGCATCTTGTGAGAATTTTGCCTGCCGAGAAACGATAAAACAGATTTGTATCAGAAATTAATTGACATGATGTACATAAATTGACTTGAAGTAAATTGGCGTACATTAATGGGAATCTTTGTTGAATATATACATTGCCAAAAGTAAATCATTGTTAATGTTCAAGTACAACGTACATTTAGACAAACACCAATCTACTATGATATTTATTTAATACGACAGGTCGTTCAATTGGCTGGTTTATCGTGCTTACTGCTACTTGGCATGCTAACGAAGAGGGCGACATGAACGAAAGGTTTGACTCACTTACATATCATGGTACCGATTGCTTTTTAAAAAAATACTTTGTGACGGATAGTGTTTCATTTTTTTCTTCATCCATTTTCTGAAGTAATAATTGCAGGTTTCAAAAGAGTGACAAAACACTATAAAGTTCGGAATAGGCAGTAGTTCTGGTGAAGTGCAGCAAAGTGTAGTGTGTAATTAAGTTCTATGCAAGCCAATCAA